TTTCTGTCTTTCTGTCTTTCTGTCTTTCTGTCTTTCTGTCTTTCTGTCTTTCTGTCTTTCTGTCTTTCTGTCTTTCTGTCTTTCTGTCTTTCTGTCTTTCTGTCTTTCTGTCTTTCTGTCTTTCTGTCTTTCTGTCTTTCTGTCTTTCTGTCTTTCTGTCTTTCTGTCTTTCTGTCTTTCTGTCTTTCTGTCTTTCTGTCTTTCTGTCTTTCTGTCTTTCTGTCTTTCTGTCTTTCTGTCTTTCTGTCTTTCTGTCTTTCTGTCTTTCTGTCTTTCTGTCTTTCTGTCTTTCTGTCTTTCTGTCTTTCTGTCTTTCTGTCTTTCTGTCTTTCTGTCTTTCTGTCTTTCTGTCTTTCTGTCTTTCTGTCTTTCTGTCTTTCTGTCTTTCTGTCTTTCTGTCTTTCTGTCTTTCTGTCTTTCTGTCTTTCTGTCTTTCTGTCTTTCTGTCTTTCTGTCTTTCTGTCTTTCTGTCTTTCTGTCTTTCTGTCTTTCTGTCTTTCTGTCTTTCTGTCTTTCTGTCTTTCTGTCTTTCTGTCTTTCTGTCTTTCTGTCTTTCTGTCTTTCTGTCTTTCTGTCTTTCTGTCTTTCTGTCTTTCTGTCTTTCTGTCTTTCTGTCTTTCTGTCTTTCTGTCTTTCTGTCTTTCTGTCTTTCTGTCTTTCTGTCTTTCTGTCTTTCTGTCTTTCTGTCTTTCTGTCTTTCTGTCTTTCTGTCTTTCTGTCTTTCTGTCTTTCTGTCTTTCTGTCTTTCTGTCTTTCTGTCTTTCTGTCTTTCTGTCTTTCTGTCTTTCTGTCTTTCTGTCTTTCTGTCTTTCTGTCTTTCTGTCTTTCTGTCTTTCTGTCTTTCTGTCTTTCTGTCTTTCTGTCTTTCTGTCTTTCTGTCTTTCTGTCTTTCATTTTTTTTTTTAAATTGGCAAAATTATTGTCTCTTAAGTCTGAAGAGACTGAAAGGCTTTTATCTCCAGGAACAGATAGGTAAGAGTGATTAGGCGGAGGAAAACCTTTGTGTTTTCTCTCTTCAGCAGGATTACAGACCTCCTGGATATCACTGGAGACAGAAAATTGTCCAGGCAGCTTGTGCCTGCCAGCCACCATTGTGAAATGGTGAATAACGTGTGCCGTCTCAGTGCTTCAGGGCAGTGATTTTTTTCAGATGCCAAACTTGTGTGTTGAAAAAGTTTTAGAAGTGCTCTTTTAGTATTATCTTCTCAGATGCTAGCAGCTGACTGTGTTATGATTCTGTGTTTCTGTGAGTTGGCTTAGTAATTTTTTTCTTAAATTATACTATTTTTTAATATTGTTTGTGATTAGTGATTTAATTTACATTTTTCATTAAGGTGGAAGAATTTAATTTTACTTTGAGTTGAGAGAGGAATTTGCATCTTTTGGGTAATACTGATTTTAAAAAATCAGTATCTTTTAATAGCCACTAATACAGCTGGATTAGTTTTAACAATCCTGTCTTCTTGAGGGTGTGTGGTTCAGATCTCTATTGCTAAGTTTTATGTGCTCTTGTATGCCTTTTGGATATGCAGATAAACCAGTATTCTCATATGATCTGTGTTATTTTTTTCTCCTACTAATTGCTTTGTTATTTCTTTGCATTTAGTAACTGGTGTGAGAGAGGTTCTGTTTCAGTGTTGGTATCAGTAGCAGATTTGGGAGAAGCTGTGGATAGGTCAGCAGGGCTTCTTCAGTTGAAGTCAGAAATGCATTTCTAGAAACAAAGTTTGACTTAAACTGTCTCTGTGGTCAAAAGATGTGTTTAACAACTAGGGAGCTTGCATGGCTGGTGTAAGCTGGTAGGTACTTTGATGCTTCATTTTACAGATTTGCTTTTCTAGTTGTTTCGGCGATACCTGATGTACAAGATGACTTGTATCCTGAATTCAGGATACGCTGAGTCTTGTCTTGTATTATTGCAACTGTCAGACTCGGCTACTTAATGGCTTTTCCTTGTATTTTGCAGCAATGTTCTTTTAAATCTTTCAAGATCAATTTAAAAATTTGATAGTTGGAAAAATTCCACGTTTCATTTACCTGTTTTGTCTGCTGCATTAAATAAGGCGAATTACAGACCAAAAGGCTGTTGTTTCCTGTAGTCTGTAGCTTATATGACACCTTAATGAGACGTAGTCAAACTGTATTAGAGAGGGGGGGTCTAGGGCAGCATGCCTCGGCGTGGGCTGTACGTGCACCGATGTAGTTATAAGGTTGTCGACTATTGCTTCCTATTTCAGCAGTGAAAATAGCTGAATTAGAGCAGTGGACTCTCCCTTTGCTAAACTGGGATCAGTTCAAAATGGTGCATGTGTTCATAATTTGAAGCTCCAGTCATATTTAAGTTTTGTGCTTTAATTTCTGTTTCTAGTTCAAATAAAAGCTATACGGGAAATCGTTTGTGTCAGTCTTTGTTTCTAAAATAAAATCAAAGGCAATGAAAGTAAAATTTAAACTTTCTTTTTTCATCTTTTTCTGGTAATGTTCAGATGGATGATTATTTGTATAGAAATTAATAGTTTCTTTTTGGTCACTCAGCACTGGCACTGCATTTTGTTGGGGGACGTATGATGTTCCAGTATGTCAGAATGCACAAAGAGCTGAAAAATAAGTAAAAACAACAGTGCTAATATTTCCTTTTTATATAGTTTGCTATTTTAAATGGTAGTATAAAAAGCCAGTTTACTTCTAGGTGACCTTGTTGCAGTGGCTGTTGTGGCAGGAAGCTCCAAAAGTGTGTAATAGAATGTTTCTAGAGCATGGAAGCATACAGAACTAGATCTATGACACAATTTCTTTGAGAGGCGCTTCTGAAGTGTTTTATCACTCAGTGGTATTGAGCTTTTCTGCTGTTGTCAGCACGGAGAGTTGAAAATTCAAATAAAAAGTACTAGTAATGGTGACATTTTTAATTAAATATATCTATCTTCCACTAATGACTTCCGAAAATGTATTGTAAAAATAACATCCAACAGTGAAAACAAAGCTTGAGTCATAAAGGCTGTTTGTTCTGCTTTTTCCAGTTTTAAAATGAGCACATTGAAATGCATCGCACTGTTTTAAAGCATTACAATCTGAACACTTGCAAGAGAATTACAAAATGAAGTGGAAATTACCTTGGTTGCCCTATGGAGCTTGTTGCTGTAGGAGGCTGTGCAGGCGAAAAGCCCCGACCTTAGGGAGGGGTAATCCTGGGTGCAGGGCTTGGTGCCAGGGATCCTGCGGCCGGTGTCGAAGTCGAGAGCGCGCGTTCCTCGTGGAGCTCTGCTGTGGGTCACTGGCGCAGTCGAGCGGGGCAGTTCAGTCATTTGAAGAGTCAACCATTCTCTTAGGAAAAAACCAGACAGTTTGCATTGTGAACCTAGTCTGTGGTACTAAAAGAACTGATGCTTAAAACCCAACCTGCAGTTTATATGGAGAGGAAATTACCCTTGGGCATGGAAAGTAGAGAGTATATTAAAGAGGTCCATTTCCCTACAAACGGAAGATGTCAGTGTTAAGTAGCCTGCGTTTAATGACACAGACAAAACTTGGAAAAAAATGTTCCAAGCTTGGGGTTCTTTAATACAGTTCATCTAGCATTTTAAATATGGACCTTTGCACTTGTCTCAGCAAAGGCGGTAATGTTAAATGGTTGGCAGAGATGCTCCTGACTGCTGACAGCAGTTGCACTGGATGACAGTATGGAAAGTACCCTCACCAAGTCTGCGGAGGCCCCCAGCCTGGAAGGGTGCTCTGCAAGCATTTTGCAGCTGTAAAGTTGATGGTAATTTCTCAGAATCCTTCTTTTAACCTCTGAAATTCTCTCTTTTTTGTTTCTTTAAAGATACCCATTCTCATTAAAAAATAGTACATCATGGCATTTACTTTGAGCTATCAGTGTCTTTCAGAATACACGTTTATCGGGAATTCTAGTCAGAATTGGTTAAAACTTGTAGCAATTACAGTTTCTATAGATAGTGAATTCCTAGGTCACGCTTCAGAATACAAACGGCACATGCGAATTCTAAACAGAGGTGGTAATGCTGATTCCTTCTGTGTTCCCACATTTGTTTGCTTTTTAAAAATACAAATCTGCAATAAAATGCATTTTTCCGAAGAGCTGCTCCTCACGTTTTCGCGTGGTGGTTGGAAGGGGCCGACTCCAGCGAGGAGCGTGCAGGGGAAGTGACTTGTTGGTGACCCTTGAAGAATTTGGGTGCAGCGTTAAACAAAGTGCCTAGTGTTCCCGTGGTAGGAGAAACATCTCAGTTTTGTGCAGTCATTCCGAATCTTATCTGTCCTGGAAAAGATGCATTTCAAGTCCAGTTTCTACCGCTGGCGGCTGGGCAGGGGTGGGGGGCGTGGGGCTCACAGGTGGTGCTGGGCTCGCCGGTGGCCGAGGCCTCTGGCCTGGCTCGCGGGGGGGCTGTGGGGGGGCTGTGGGGGGGCTGTGGGGGGCCCCGAGCTGCCCCACTCCTTCGGCCCCAGGGAAGCTGTCGGTGCTGGCGCCTCTTGGCCAGTGGCGTCCTGCGAGGGAGTAGGGGACACGCAGAGAACCACCGCTCCCACCTTCCAACCCGCCTGCTTTGTGAGGTACGGGGATTTTACCTCCTCTTAGGTTTCAGGGTGCAGGGTTTTTTTTTCTGGCAGATATTAACCTTGTGAGGAGATTTGGTATTTAATGAGCCAATTTTTGAAATAAAGAAGCTTTTCTTCTCAGAATTATATTTTGTATTTTTCTGCTCCTTTTGATTGCTTTGACATTTGGTTTGTAGAAAATTTGTCACAAAGTAGAGGTTTAGTTTAAATTCAGAAAAATGAATAGGTGAGCTTTAGTGTTTGTTTTTTTTTTTTATAGATAACTAATAGATGAATGTAGAGAAAATAAAATAATGTGTTTGTAGTTGTGTCTTGGAGAATGTTTTTCAAGGTTGTTTCTGGTGTCTCAGGAAATTTTTACCCATCTTTAAATATGTAAATTCCAATGTAAAAAAACCTATAACACTTATTTCTCTTTGTAGCTTCCAATAAAGGCTGGCCAGCAGAATACCCACACCAAAGTCAGTACGGAGCACAACAAGGAATGTCTCATAAATATTTCCAAGTACAAGTTTTCCCTGGTCATCAGTGGTCTCACTAACATCTTAAAAAATGTTAATAACATGGTAAGTTGTCTAATTTTGGATTGTTGGGTGATTTTTCAAAAAGGCTATTATTTTTTCATATTATACAATCTGCAGAGAGTCACTTGAAATATAGTCAGATTGTTGCTTGCCTTTTACACTGGATTATTTTCTTTTCATCCTCACATGCTGAAGTTTAGCAACATGACTGAGCTGTGTTTCATATAAAGGCGATGAGATAGTTGTGGGAGAGAAATCTAAAGGAAGGTGGTAATTAAGAAGAATCTTGTGTTAGTCCTGGGGAGTGGTCTGTACCTGGGAAGGTGTGTGCCTGGCGCTGGCTTGGGGGCTACATAAAGGTTCCTAATGCTGCCGGGGTCCCTGAGCAATGTTTAGGTAGCAGTAGAAGGTGCTGCTTGCTGGGAGGTGGGGGAGGCTGTTGGCCATTGCAGGGAAAGGTGCTTCAGTTACCCAGGGAAGCCATGCTAGCAACATCTGTAGAGGAGGAATGCAGCAGGGCAAAGGAGCTGCTGAGCAGCAGCGCTAGGAAGGCTTTTTTTTTTACCCCCTCATCTGTCCTGCCAGGAATCGTTTTGGGAAAGGAAGAAGGGAAAAGGATTTAAAACTTAGTGCTATTTGAATTTTCCAGGCTGTTTATATGTTTTAGCATTTGCGTGTGTGTGTGTGTATAAAAAAAAAAAATATCTATGTATACATACATATTTTAACAACCAGGTGAATTTCAGTCAGAACCTTGGAAGAAAAATCTTTGAAAACAGTCTCTTGTCTAATACTGCCACCATAGACTCATACCTCCAAAGGGATACCTTACTAGTCAGTAAGAAAAATAAATGAAATATGTGTGGGAGCGATGCACATCTCTTCCATTTATTGTTTGCTATGGATCACAGCCTCTCATTACACCACTTAATGCTGATACTTGAGGGCAGTAGACTGGTGTGAAGGGATGAGGTTCCAGGTGATTTTTCTACAAGTTCTCAAAGAGAAATCTTTAGAGCTAAGTGTCTTAGTAGATGGTTTCCTTCTGCATACTCGTTTTCTCTTCTGCCTCCAAGGGAACCATAAAATGATTTCTGAAATCTATCAAAGTATTTGACTTGTCAACATCACTAAAACTGTCATTTAAAATAGATCTCAGTGGAACCAAAGGGAAGAGAAACCTAGAGAAGAAAAAAAAAATTAATGTGGATGTCCATAGTGTTGACTCTAGAAAAATAATTTTACCATCAAGTTGGGTAAATGGAAAGTTTAGGAATCCTTTATGAGGAGAAAGATGCAGTTTGAATTTTTTTTTTTTTTTTTTTAATGGAAGGTCTGGTTTTGGATTTGTCATGAGAAAAGTTTAGTTCATTGAGTTTTGAAGCCGTGTGACTTGTGATCATGTGGAATCCCCACAACCAGGTAACAGAACTGGTAAACTCTAGCAGTACTTTTTTTTAATGGTTTTAGTAAGATAGTTTGCAGTGAGCTCTTTTGGGTGCCGGTTGTACAGAGATGTGCATCTGCTAAAACATTACAAAAGACTGATAAAATCAGAAAATAGGTTGCCCTGCTGCCAGGGATTTTAGGCTGCTTGAAGCTACCTGTAATACCTTTTGAGAGAATTTATTTTAATTAAACTCCATAGGCATGAAGGAATGTGTTGATGTGCAAGATGATTGTCTGATAAATGTGAAAACTATACAGTTAAAATGAGTTTCTCTATATGATATATAGATTTTTAGAGGAAGGACCTAGCTAAAAATGTCAATATTTGGACTGAGCTACTGTATGAATCAGCAGTATTTTTGAAGGATTTGTATAGCTGAAACAAAACAGACCAATAGACTGTCGTAATGGTCTTAGTTTAGGAAAAGGGCTTGAGGGTTTGCACTCTGCTGGAACTTAGTTGAGCTAACCTCTCCCGTGATTTAAAATATAACTTCCTTTGGGTGACTTCTACACGTGTTCTATGTGTAGGCAGTAGTACCAATATATTTTCGGCTAAATCTTTTCTGCTTTATTTTGCTGTCTTATTATTGCTGGAACTAGTGACTGCTGTTGGCAGTGAAGTTGGGTGCTAGCATAAACACCCGAAGGAGCTCTGCTTTTGTCCTGTAGCTGAAGTGTGGCATCTTGGAGGGTCTCATGTGTTTCTTCCTGTGGTTTGTGCTGAATTCTGCAACACTCTAATAAGCGTGTCGTTATGTGTTTGTTGTAACATCAGTTCTCTTAAGATGTTGGCAGTGCCATACGTAATTGGAAAAGAGTCAGCAGTAATTGATACCAAAATACTTTCTGAAGAGGTATAACCTTTTCTGACTAAATGATAGGGCTGTGAAGGTAAGGGGCTGCAGTGTACCTCCACTTTTACTCTGCGGTAGCTGTTTGTTCCTTATGAGCATTTGGCTTTGCAGACTGGACAAAGATATTTCTTCAGCGATAAGCTTTTAATTCCTTCCTTAATCTAATTTTTGCTGGTTTTATTGCTAAACTCAAAACCAGAGCAGTAAAGGAGCCATAACTTACTGTACCACTTTGCTACATTACTTTAATGAGTTACAAGTCAAATTTCTGTGTCTCAGATGAATCCATATTCTTTCTGCTTCTAGAGAATATTTGGAGAAACTGCTGAAAAGAATTTATATCTATCTCAGCTGATTATCTTGGATACACTGGAAAAATGTCTGGCAGGGGTGAGTAGGCTTGCATAAGTAATTGCTAAGTTGGAATCAAATGAGTTAGAGAGTACAAGTCAAATGCTTGTGTATCTATTATTGCTGGTGCTAAAGTTAAAACTCATCTGATTTAGAGCAAAGTAGGATTAATGCCATTTAAAGAATACAAAAACTTCCTATAAATGCAAGTAGTTGATATAATTGGTAAATTAAGGACTTGTGGGGTGCTTTTTTCTTGCCTAAAATTAGTGATCTTTTTTCAGCTAAGTAGATTAAACCTTTGCATTTGCTCTTCCCACTACTCAAGTAATTTGTAGAGTTATAAATAATAACTTTCTTTTAATAGTTTGTTAAAAAGAATTGCAGACAACTGTACTCGGAGACATGTGTGAACTGGAATGAGGGAAGACACAAACAGAAATGAAGAATTAGATTGGTTATGAAGCTTCGCTAGGTTTTTATAAGCTTTGAATTCTTGTGGCATATTCTGTTCATTATTTTTTCAATAGATGCATCAAAACTTCTTAATCCCACAATTTAAACAAAAAAGGTAATGGGATGGTAAATCATGTTAAAAATAGCAGATAATTCAGTACAAGTACTTAAGTTTTATACTACTAAATTTTCTGCATACAGTGTTGATTTTTCTTTGAATTTCTTAAAACTTTAATTTGTTGAAGTAATTTTTCATGTACTTGTATATACAGCAGAAAGTTTGCTATCGCTATTTTAAAGATTACATTTGCAGGTGTTTCCTAGATTACATTAGTGTAACTGTCCAAACTTCCACTGGGACTCCAGTGCTGAGGTTTCCTATCAGCTGTGCTGCACGGCAGTTTGCTATTACCTTTGGGATGGGAGCAGTTGTACAACTTACTGTGCTAAACCGTGTAATTGAAAAGCCAAACTTCGCTGTGAGCAAGATTTGCAATGGTTTATTCCTTTAACAAGAAAGGAATTTTTTTTTTAAAGCTGTATTCCTGGATGAATGTCATGAAATCATCTAAGGTCTTTGCTGTTTTCCTGCAACAGCTTTTGAAGGTTCTTTCTTTATAAGGTAATGACCTTATTATGGTTAGATTTGTCAAGCAGCATATCTTATATTACAGTACTAAAATAGTCTGAATAATTGTGGAGTCTTCTAAATTCACAAAAGATCCAGGTAAATACATCTTCCAGAATAATTGTCAGCTTTTACAGTTGAGGTAAATACCTCTTTTTGGCACTTTTTGTCTTTGATGCAGTGAGTCAGAAAACCAGCTTTAACTTAAGAAATTAATTATTTAAAAGTATTTCTTACATGCATATTGTTTGAAACAATAGTAATGGCTTTTTCCTGACGGATGACAGTATCTGAACAGCATAAAATTGTGCTGAATACTTCTTGCTTTGTCAATTCAAATGAGAGCAAGTTGAGCCAGTATATGTTTAATAGGACTGAGCCAAAGTTCTATACAAAGAGCGTTGTGTTCTGTGATATCTTCAGACATATTTCTCGCTCGCTGTTCTTGCTCAATGTTTCATCAAGTTCTCATGGCAACAGGACTCGGGTCAACTAAGTGGGAGTCTCTAAAACTTCCCAATTCCCTATGGTAAATTCATTGGTAGAATTTTAGAAAGCTTTAATGCTGACCCTTCTGTTAAAACTTGCTCTTAGTAGAGCAAAGTTTCACTTTGAATTCTTTTGTAAATAGTTTCCTTATGCCTCATACTGTGCAAACTTGCAAAAATTAGATTTTTCTTTTTGTAGGAAAGCTAAGCCATTTTTGACTCATATAGAGCAATCCCAGGCAACAGCAAGGGAGAAGCACCTTCTTTTCTGGGTCATTTTTTTATATAAAATATTTGCTGTCAAAGTATAGTGGTTAGAATACTACCCAGAAGAGAAGTAAGGGTGGGTCTTTGCTCTTTGAACTTCCATTCAAAGCTGAAATAGTTAATGCTTAATTGCCAGTATTTCACTCCGATTTCACACAGGGTGCATTCAGCAAAACAGAAATGTGTTTTACCTCAAAAACTAATTTGATATTTTGCTTGATACTTGATTACATTGATCAACTTGTTGTCCTACATATTCTGGGGACTTAACTGAAAATGTACAATGGTTTGAATGATACAGGTGGTTGTTCAAATGGAGGGAAGCCTTTTCTATGTAGACTACTTACACTACGGTCAGTGGTAGCCTGCAGGCAGAATGAGAAGTTTAGATTCAGGTCCTGTGCCTAGTAGTGGCAAATGGTCCATTTTTTTTTGCCTCCAAACCTACAAAACAGAATTTCATGAAATATTGAATGTTTCTTTTCAGCAACCAAAGGATACCATGCGACTAGATGAGACCATGCTGGTAAAACAGTTGCTGCCAGAAATCTGCCACTTCATCCACACTTACCGTGAAGGGAACCAGCACGCAGCTGAACTACGTAATTCTGCCTCTGGGGTTCTTTTTTCTCTCAGCTGCAATAACTTTAATGCTGTGTTCAGCCGCATTTCCACCAGGTAGGTGTTTTTCAGTAGCTTGACTCAGTGTATTAGATGATCTACATACTGGTGTCTAGAACATGCCATGAATTGTAGTCTTTCTAATTTCAGAAAAGTTACCTGTTCAAATGGTATTTAACAAGATAGTTCTTAAGTGAAATTCCCTCTACCTTCCAAAATTTTACTGGAGTTTCAGGTTACAAGATGAACCTGTTTCATATCCATTCCAGGTTACTGCCAGCATATTTTCTGAGAGCTGCATTTATTGCTTTTTTTAATTTGTTTTCATAAGTACAAGTCAAATGCTGTTGTGGAGTGAAAAGAATAACAACTCAGCTGAATAGGTTAAATCAATTCTTGTGATGCAAGGTGTTCCGAAAAAAAAAGGATGCTGAAGGCAATGGGTTGTATCCATTTACGTACAAATTTAGAATGCAAAATTTCGGAATGTCTGCAGCTCTGCTGCAGCCCCAACACTGGTTTCCTTCCTAATTTTTCCTGCTTGAAGGCTTTTACCTTAAATCTATTTTATGCCTGAAGGGGGCAAAACAGCTGGACTGTTTGTTAGTTGTTGGGAAGGACCCATTTGGCTGACTTGAATATCACAGCACATTAACTGCAAAAATAACTGTCTTTTCTGCCATTCTAAGTGAGAAGAGAGACAGGTCCAAAGTTTCCATCTATTTGCTCTTTTTGCCCTGTTCCAGATCCTTCTGATGCTTCAGCAATCCACTAGAGTTGTGTATTAAGCTTTTTATTACTGAAATACTTTGATGTTTTTTGAAAGTTGCTTGAAGTAGCTTAGCTCGTGTTACACTTTGTTACAGCTAGCATCATCCTTGATTTATTAGAAGTGGAGCTTGGGCAGCCTTATGTGGTCACATAGCAATGAGTGTGCCAATTTAATTGAAACAAAGATTTATATATTCCTTATAATGTAAAAAGAGTTCCACTCCAACATTTTGGAAATCAATCTAAAATTATTTAATAAGTTGAAAATTTAAGTATATTAAAAACTTTTACAGAGCCTTTGATAATAACTTCTGTTTCAAGAACATAGACTTGGCAGCCAGGGTGGAGGATGTGGTTTTACTCAATAGGTTGATTATGTTTTGTTGCTTATGGAAATGGAAGCCATTTCTTTTGCTCCTTTTATAGGAAGTATTTTTCAGTTGAAGTTTTTGACAGTCCTTGGATCTAGTCCATGGATCTGTATTTATTTGTATGTCTGTAGCATGGTTTAGCTCTCAAGCACCAGAGCCCTTCTTACCATCCATTTGAGCTGGAACGTAATGCTTTTTCCCTAACCTGTTTTTCACTTCAGAATGACTTGTACATAAATAGTTAAATATTTGCCCAATTGTTGCTGATCCCCACAGGGGTCAGCTTGCCGACAGTTAGCGTTGCTGATCTTTTGACCCGTGCTTCCTGTTTAGGCATATTTCTAGGCCTTGTACAGCAGCTGGGGGATTTTTGGCATGAAAAGCACAGCAGTGGGGACCTTCCCATTCCCAGCGAGGGCTGTTAAGTTTCCCTGGCGTTGAAGAAATGAAGAACTGCTTTTGTGTGTAGTACTAGAAATCGCATTCCATGTCTAAAACACATCTGTAGCTTTGGAACAAGACATGGCAATCTTCAGTCTGTGAGAACATATGATTTAGTTATTAGTGGCTTAGTATCTGATGAGGTATTTAGTAACTCATCTAGTAAAAAAGTGTGAAAAGATGCCATTGAGTTTAAACTTCACACTGTTTGTTTAAGCCAGAAAAACGTGGACCTTCTTTAGCTTACAAAGAATGGTTGTAGCTCACCTCAGTGATACTAAGTGCCATCAGTCCCTGCTTTACTCTTGAGAAATAAGCTGGGGCAAAACTTGCTGTTAAGGAGCAGTAGTCTAAAGGTGTCATGATTCCATTAATTTAATATTTAGTTGAAAAGATGACAAGATTACTGCTGCAGTATGGTATATAACAGAAGGATTTAGGCAAACCTGGGGCATAAACAGATTATCAACAGATGGTATTGGCATTTTGTAAGACTCGCTGGTATTTCTAGATCCATTTTCAGTATGAGGATGGAATAAGACTGTAATATTAACTCTTATTCATGCAAGATCCATCTTTCATTTCTAAACTTGGAAAAGTTTATTTGAGGAGACTGTATTATACGAGGACATCATATAGTACTCTCCTGCTATTCAAATGTATAGAACCAGAGGTGTGTGTTCGTACCTATCTGACATAATCTGATTGTGAAGTTAGTTTACTTTGCATATTTTTAGATTGCAGGAACTGACTGTTTGTTCAGAAGATAATGCTGACGTTCATGATATTGAACTTTTACAGTACATCAGTGTGGATTGTTCAAAACTAAAACGACTCTTGCAAGGTATGATTTGAGCCTGTGTCTTGTAATACTTGTATCTGAATATGGCTAGTTAGAGATGACACAATGCTATTGATATGTATATCCTTCTTTATTGCTGTGTTTTACTCCAAATAATCATATATTTACCAAAATACTTAAGTACCATAAAGAAATTTTTTAAAAAATTCCTGTGCACTTCAAATGTCTTCTATAATCTGTGTTTCTTTTTAGAACCAAATTTCTTCTCTAAATGCAGAAATCTTTTACCTTTGCAGAGACTGTATTCAAGTTTAAAGCCCTTAAGAAAGTAGCTCAGTTAGCTGTTATCAACAGTCTTGAAAAGGTAAGTATTTTAATATTTACCTTCTGTTTCATTGCTTATTTGCAGACTTTCTCTAGTTTAAGAATAGTTACAATTCAGTAGTTTATTGTAAAATGTAAGTTGATCCCTCCGATGCACATATATTTTGCAAGAAATGTCGAGTGATTAGAAATAAGAGTAAAATCTTTCTTCATTTAAATATGTAATTCGGAAAAAATATTCTTAAGCTGTGGAATGTAAGGGATGTTTTGCATTATCTGCAGGCATTTTGGAACTGGGTGGAAAACTATCCTGATGAATTCACAAAGCTGTATCAAACACCACAGACTGACATGGCTGGTAAGGCATAACAAATGATGTAGTGTTCAAAAATTGATTTCTCAGACATCCCCACATTCTCTTGCATTTTGTGCCTTCTTTGCTTCTTGTGCAGTCTGCAAACAAGAAACAGATTTCTGTCAACCTTTGTCAGGGCAGGCAGGGATATATTGCTATCTTCTTTTCTCTCCTGCCTCACCTTTTAAAGAGATTCATTTTGTGGTTCACAACACAAAGAAATAAAACCCAAAAGATGGAAACTCTTTAAATATATATTTTTTATCTTGATTCAGGAAAAAAACTTAAAAGAGAACATCTCCTGTATTTGTCTCTAGTCAAAAAGAGAGGAAAATTTATATTTTCAAATAAACTGTGTCTTTAACTGGGTTGAGACCATTTTATCCCCAGTAGCATGCCAGTAATGTGCAAAACAACTTTTTTTTCTGTGTAGATGGAGCTATCCCTCTGCTCTTTTATACCTATTCTTTTCATAATTAAAATTGGTATTGAACGTGGGGTTATATTTTATGCAGATTGTGCAGAGAAGCTGTTTGACTTAGTGGATGGCTTTGCTGAAAGCACAAAACGTAAAGCAGCAGTTTGGCCACTGCAAATCATACTCCTGGTCCTGTGTCCAGAGATCATCCAAGATATAGCAAAGGATGTGGTGGAGGAAACTAAAATGAATAAGGTAAGAGAAGAAGAGTATCTGAATTCTGATTCTGATTTCTAGAGGATACTTGGTTTTGCTTAGCTGAAATACAGCATGTATTTTATTTTGCCTTTCTTGCCTAAAAAGCATGTTACAGTTCCGTATGTAAATTTATGCATCCTTTTTAAGTTCTCGCCTAACAAACGTTCTTCCACTGTCAATAATTCATAGATAGTATGTCCCAACCAATGTTATTTCAGAACTTCTACATCTCTTTGGAGATTTGAATCTCAGTGTTGTGACTTCCCCTGCCTCCTCCAGTAGCAAACTTAGCATTGCTTCTAGCTGGCCCGTGTTGTACTGTTCAGGTTTCTGCAGTGTGTGCACCGTGTGTTCCATAATTGCAGTACCTGTAGCAGATGTTGAATTTGATGGGGCTCAAGCATTATGGTTAAGAGTAAACAACCATCTATCTTTGTGCCATTCTGATTGCCCTAGATCATTCAAAATTAATGTCTTTATTAAACATAACGTTTCTCCAGAATACTGCATCACGTTGCTTTTTGCAATCCCAATATCCATGATTTCTGATCAGAAAGTGCAGTGTTGTTTGTTTTTAATATTTAAGGATCTAAAAACTCTGACCACAGATTACCAGAGCTCTGGTTATAACTACTCCTAATTTGAATTGTGCAGAAACTGTTCCTGGACAATCTCAGGAAGGCACTTGCAGGCCACAGTGGGAGCAGACAGCTGACCGAAAGTGCTGCTATTGCTTGTGTTAAATTGTGCAAAGCATCTACCTACATCAACTGGGAAGATAATTCTGTCATTTTCCTACTAGTGCAGTCCATGGTAGTAGATCTTAAGGTAAAAATATCTATTTCCTAATTGCAATGAAAAAATTTAAATTTTAAAATACTGAAATAAATTTTTAATTTCTCCTTAGTTGAATACCATAGTGTGTTTTCAGTGGAAAGTTTTGTATTGGAAGTAGACAAGAATAATCTTGGTATTTGATTTATATATTCCTGGTTTTTTTTTGAAATATATAGAATTTGCTGTTTAATCCAAGCAAACCTTTTTCAAGAGGCAATCAAAATGCAGATGTAGACCTTATGATTGACTGCTTGGTTTCCTGCTTCCGCATAAACCCGCATAATAACCAACACTTTAAGGTGAGAACACTGCTTACAGGTAACTCGTTCTCCATGTACTATAGATGACCTGTCAGTAATAAAAAGATATGCTAACAGCAGCTAGACGCTTATAAATAAGATCAACAGTGTAAATATCCCATAGTAATAAATCCCTGCATGTTTTTATAAACCTTTTCTCAGCTGATTAGACTTTCTCTTGTAGATTTGACAGCTTTGTCAATTTAATAAAAGGCTCCAGTGTGTTATTCAGTGTGATAAGAAAGATGTCAAAGACAAAGATGTTCCTAAATGGCTTTTATGTATTTTTATTGTAGATCTGCTTGGCACAGAATTCCCCATCAACATTCCATTATGTACTAGTAAATTCACTCCACCGAATAATCACAAATGTAAGTTCTGAAAGTATTTCATCAGCCCAGCAATCTGTGGCTTCTATTCAGATCAATATCTGCTTATTAAATACAATTTGAATAGTAGACCAAATCTTGTTGCAGGTATCCATGCAGCAAGAGCTGCTTGCTGGTAAGGAAGGACATAGAAATCGTTGTTCCTGCTGTCCACCAGTTGGATTCCCAGTTTGAGAACTTGTATTTCAGTCTAAAATTTCAGTATAAATAGGTTTTAATACCCTCTAATATAGGATGGCAAATGAATCGTACGTTCTCTGGTTTTATAGTAGGTATCGTTTTATTGATATATGGAAGCACTCTCAGGACATGCGTAGTTACACCACCTTCTGCTACTTCTAGTATATTGACGTGGGAATTTAGGGGAAGAGCTGGCCTCATGATTTTGCTCAGGGATTTGATCCAGTATGAATTTACAGAGTGTAAAATTGTAATAAAGCTGAGTGCCAAAAATATTTTGGAAGTTTGTGCAGTTGTTCATCTTCAATTTGTAGTTGAGCTTTAAGTAACTAAAATATTACTTTAATTTTTATACTATTCAGAAATACTTTCCATGGTTTCCTGCATTTATGGTTTCGTAGTTTGTGCTTGTTCAGAAAGAAGAGCAATATAGTAAGCAGCTAAGTTGGAAGTGTTGCTTCTGTTACAACTCACTTAAATATTGAGTTTCGTGATGAGAATGCAAAATTATCATTTGGCAATAACTGTAAAATGCTCATGTGTAAAGGTTAGTTATGCTACAGGTTTTGTAACTTCTAGGAGTCTAAAATAAATCATACTCTAACTTGCCTATTACCAGCTTAACATTTGAGCATTTCTGTGTTTTCTTTCTAGTCTGCGCTGGACTGGTGGCCCAAGATCGACGCCGTGTACTGCCATTCCATGGAGCTTCGCAGCATGTTCAGCGAGACCCTTCACAAAGCTGTTCAAGGCTGTGGGGCACACCCAGCCATTCGCATGACTCCGGTAAGACTTCTAAACAAGCTGTTAAAACACAAGCCTGTCTTTCATGTGTCTCCATTCCATTCCAGCTTTTTTATTCATTAACTTTAGACTGGAAACTAGAGGGGGGAAGAACATTGCAATCCAAAAAGCAACAGAGAGCCATACTTGCTCTGTAAACCTTGCAGGTTTTGGTGTATTGACTAACTGTTTCTAGTCAGTTAGTGATGTATGTCTCTCAGTTTTCATGCTGCTTTTAAACTGGCAACGTAGAAGTATTTGTTCTGTAACTGTCCTCTGTGACTACCTGTTCATTTTAAGCTTTCTTGCTGTGTGAATTGCTAGGTAATACGTCCCTTCTTGTTTAATCTGAAAAACAAAAGCACTCTATATGTGAAGATACTTTCTGAAAACTGCAGTGCTTTTACCATGATTGGCATGAGTATCTCTTCATTTGTCTTGCTTTCTGTTGAGCAAGTTGATCGGTCTTGTTGACCACAACAAAGTAAAAGATTTTTCAAGCATTATGAAATAAAGTCAATATTCTTGGTTGACTTGGGAAAAGTCTTGACTAAATTCAGATTTTTAGTTCATCCAAATTTTTTTAGTAAGTTCACATGCAGCTGCGTTGCCTTTCTTCTGAACTTTCCATTTAGGACTTTTGATGTGTCAAGTGAACTTGGTTGGTTGTTTTAGAAGGCCTAAAATGATACATGAAAATATTCCTATTGGGCTTCTCAAATGAAAGCAAATGATCAAAATACCTTTAGTTGAAAGCTACAACGTGTTTAACTTGCTTTTTACATGTATGTATTCATCTGTTGAGAAAATAGCAGCGTATTGTAATGGCAACTCTGACATTGATTGGTGGTGCTTTGTCTTCTGCTTCTTATTTTCCGTTCTTATTGGCTGCTGTCGCTCACATGGTCAGATGCCAACCAGTCACTGTTTTGCATGGCAGTGGGCCTCTGTTGCTGTAAGTATGACCCATTGTAACTACCGCAGAAAAGCCTTTCCTTGCTCTGACTTTTCTGTGCATAGTTACCACTGCAGTCACCTCACTTCAGCTGGGATACAGAAGGCGGTAGCGTGTTTCACGTAAGAGTGCAGGACTGGAGGAGACCCCTTCAGTGCTGCTCTGGGCAATTGCAGGGCGATCCCTTTCACCACCAGTTGAGCTCCTTCCTAGAAGGAAAGGCTTTTTGTTGGTTCTGTTCTTTTCTTTCCGCCCCTTACTTTTCCATCATGATGCTCTTCCAGAGTCTCTCTGCTCTGGTGGTTAGAACCATTTTCTAATTTCCAGCCTGAACTTATTTCTGTCTTAACTTATCCCCGTTTGTTCTTGTTCCAATGTTGTCTGTTAGCTTCAAGCCCGTGTTTATCCCCTGGATGTATTTGCAGAGAGCAGTCATGTCCCTCTCTTTGTTTATTGACAGTCTTTAGTTTTGATTGTGTGAAGTAAATCTGTTGCTTCACAGAAACAAATCAGCTTCTTTTGCCATGTGCCTCTTCTCAGAATTCCCTTAACTGTAGCAAACTAAGGTTTAGCACAGAATTAGTTTACCAGTGTGGTATTAATTTCTTGATCAGATACTTTTTATGTGATAGATTTGACTCTATATATATTCACAATAACCATTTAGCAAAATAGCATGAGGTCTGATTTCCTGTAGAATTTAATTATACAATGTCGTATCTCTTCTTCAGTTACCGTGAGGATGCTTTCAAGCTGGGGTTTGGGGGTGTTTTGTTCAAAACTTCTATGTTTAGTGAAAATGAAAACCAAGTTCATGTTACTGTTTGAGATCTTTGCAAATAATAAACTAGACAAAATAGTTTAAAAAGCTGAGTTTCTAAAGAGCGTTGTATTCTGTATTGTGTTGAATATCCACAAGGGCAATTTTTTTGTCCAAGTTAGTCTCATAACTATTTCGGTAGCTGTAAGTAAAAATAGTAATTTAATCTCTGCTGATACAAGATTTAATTAATGAAAATAAAAATTCTGTAAATTTACTGGATAGAGATGAAAATCCTTTATCTTTGGAGGTACTGGGGACCAATTAACGCAAGTTCGTATTTTTTAATACATGTATTTATATGTGTGTGTGTATTTATATACACACACATATATATATTTGTAGTATTTTTCACAGACTTCAGCGTGCATCCAGATTATTTTTGTTGAGAAGAAGAAACTGACTGCCATACAAGAGGGTGGTTCACTTTGAAGGATTGTACACACTCTAGGATTGAAGCATAAACTCAATTTTTGCAATCCTTACAACTGGTAGCATGCATATACATTTATTTCACAGCCAACACCGTGTGTGGCGATTTGTTAAATGTATCGGTCATGTTGCTGCCTGGATTCTGTTTTGTGAAAATCAGTAGCAGAACATGATATAGTTCACACTGGAGTCAAACCAAAACACCTTATCTGAACTCTCAATACGTACCTTAACATGTCCTCCATTTTACATAAGGAAGTTGACTGCTACAGAAGTAATTTACTGATCTTTCGGATGAAGCTAGATTTTTTAATTATTATTATTTATTTAAGCAATGCACTGTGTACCTTGTGAAAACTGAAAGATTCCTTTTTCAGAGGTAGTGGCTATCATCATCTGGACTGTGACTATGTCAGAAAATAGAGAGAACATTTTGCCTTTAGAAAAAAGTTTCCTACCATCTCATGTATTCAAGCTTGCTTGGAAACACTTTTTTTATTTCCTTCTCAGACCAGAGAAAATCCCTGTAAATTCTTTCAGTCCCTTTATTTTTCTTTTTCTACATTTTTTTCTTTTGTACACATGCAGCTCACTAAAACAATTCTTAAGGAAACTTTAAAGCTATAATCAAGTGATAGCATATGCATACGTAGAAGGGGATTTTAAAGTAGAAAGCTATGTGACTATACTTGACTGAATTTTACTTTTAAACTTTTCAATTAATTATAGATTATAAAAGCAATACATTTCATAAGATCTTTAATTATAACTATGTAGACTATCTCACTGACAATGACTGTGATTTTTTCCTTCTGCCAGAGTCTTACGTTTAAGGAGAAAATGACAAGCCTTAAATTTAAAGAGAAACCTACTGATTTGGAAACCAGAAGCTACAAGTTCTTGCTGTTATCCTTGGTAAAACTGATCCATGCTGATCCAAAGCTTTTGCTGTGTGTAAGTATATCAAACTAATTCATAGTAAAATCTACTTTTGAAGTTATTAAATGAATAAAAATTAAAAACATAAACCTGGCATCTAGGATACTTCCCTACTCATTCTTTTCTCTGATTATAATGCTTCTGTGCTTTCAGGTGGGAGGCAGTAGGGAGAAGAGGGGAATAGAACAAGAAGAAAATTAAAATAAGGGGTGTGGGGGAAATTAGTCATAATTTCAATGAGTAGACAGACAGATGTGGTCTTAGATCTTCCATTTTCTCTGTTTTGTTTATTGTTTAAAATATTTTAAATTCTGTCAAAGATGCGATATACTAGGGGTCTCATAGCTTAAAAAACCATGAGATGCTCTCTTAAAGATCCAGAAATCCACCTAACTTCATTACAGGAACGCTGCTGTAGCGGACAGTAGCATGGCCAGTCATGACACAATTTTACAACTTAAACTTGCTTTCCTTTTTGCGATGTAGAATCCAAAGAAGCAAGGGCCTGAGACGCAAGGTAGCACGGCTGAATTAATTACAGGCCTTGTACAACTTGTTCCGCAATCCAGCATGCCAGATATAGCACAAGAAGCCATGGAGGTAAGGGGTTAATGTTCTCTATGCCAAGTGATTAGTACAGAGACAAATCAAGACTTTTGTAGAAGCTCTGAAGTATTGATTAGCTATGAAGTTCTCTGATTTAGAGTTTGGTCTGTGTTGATCTTTTTCTAAATGTCTCCTGCACTGGAAATTTTACAGGAGAAGCCTGCAGGAAAATTTAAAAAAGCAATTCATACTGCCCTCTGACTACCCTGCACCTCTGTGTGGTTTGTTCATCCCTGGTGATGATCAAATACGGTTGACAGTTCTCTGTTCCATCTTTGCAGAGAGCACCATTAAGCTTGCTCTTTCTCTTCTGTTTTTTAAATGGCTGTGAGAGAAATGCCTGATGCAGCGGCTGGTCCTGTCGTCCGCTGTGAATCAGAGAAGGCTGGATGCGGGGGAGGGACGGATAAGATACTTTAAGGCTACTGAAATCTTCTTCCCGCCAGCTTTGACTGAAGACGCTAACAAATCCACCAAAGTTACTTCTGATTTTTAGCCTTTCCATGCAAAGTTTCTGATTCTGTGACTTCCCCAGTTCACTTGTAACATTTGTATGTTTTTCATCATGATGGGCCCCCAGAGCACCTCATATACACTGAGAGCAGGGTTCAGCTGCTTCTCCTTGTGCATAATGGAACAGAAAGATTTTACTGTTATAGATCTTTTTTGATAGTTTTATGGTAGAATTCGAGAATATTTCTTGTGTAAGAATAATCATTTTCAATGTGAAAGTCTCTGAGGAAATTTATGTTGGGTAGTAACAACCTTATGGTCGTTTACAGGAACTTAAAGATTGAAAAGTTTTGGCCATTGTGTTAATGTAGTTTTGGACTACTGTTCAGTCTTGAGTCTTTATTGATCTTGACCTAATCTACCTGATTGTTGGCTTAACTAGTGGAGGATGGGCCTCTTGTGTCTGTTTTTGACTAGTAGGTTAGTAAATAAGTTCTGTAATATTTGTTTAAGCTAGGGAGCAATTTGAAATAACTACTTAAATATGGTTGGAGAACACTATGGTTGGTTGTTTTTTGATTTTTTTTTTTTTTTTTTTTTTAAATTCACTTTTAACAGTATTCCAACAATTCCTTTGCACCGAACGTTTTTAAAAAATCTTGTCAGAAAAAGTAGTTAGGACTCGCCATATTTCTGTCCTTAACTTGTATTTTCACCAGAGTAAAAATTTATTTGCCTGCATATCAGACAAATAATAGGTGACATAAGGGATTGTTTGCTGCAGTTGCTTGATATAATTAAGGATAAACATAATCCATAATTTTCTGTTTATTCTTAGCCTTTGACCAGTTTATTTTTTTATCAGCTATGATTTCTTCTGAAAATTGTCTTCAGCTAATTTATAAGTAATTGATTTTTGAGAACTTTGTAGTGAATCGCACTAAATCAAAAGTAGAGATTAAAATTTTGGTCATAGTTCACCAATATGCTTTCGGATATGGTCAGAACTTTGTCTTGTCTAAGTTTTCACTTGTGTGGGGAGTGGTTACAAAGAGCAAAATATTTGCCTGTTCTGACTTGGCAAAGAGCTAGAACTACAGACACGTTGTTGTTGCTGCTGCTGCTACAGTTTATATGGGTAGGATTGGTTACATTGTTTTTTACAGCTGGACATTAAGTAACTACTAAAAACATTGTGTCCATGTGTTTTGTGTGGATATGTGTGGAAATGCAAGGTAAAGCCTCTAGGTTTGGATCATAAATATGTAATACAGACTGAAATACTTCTGACACAGACTAACAATGAACTATTGGTCTTCTATATAAAATCTTTCTTATATCTTTTGTTGTTTTTAAAACAATGTAATTGATATATGATTGCACCTACTTCTCTTTGTGAATTTCCTCCTTTAAGTGAAACTACTATGTTTTGAATTTAGGCCTTGCTAGTTCTTCACCAGTTAGACAGCATTGACCTGTGGAATCCTGATGCACCTATAGAAACATTCTGGGAAATAAGGTATGTAAGTTAACTTTTGTAAATTGGAGAAATAGCTGTTTTGATTTGTCTTCTCTTTTGCTGAGAATATTTTGGGAAAGCTATGCAACATTGACATGAATCTGCAGACAAAATGATGTGTATTTGTTAAAAAGTTATGTTTTCCTTATACAAGTTTAATAAGAAAAATAAACATTTTGCTGGCTTTCTTAATGACTCTTTTCAGCCCGATGTTAAGGTGTAGAAATTGATTATTAGTTTGAAAAGTTAGAGACTTTTCCCCCTCATTCAAATGTTTACTTCTAGTTTACATTCTGTTTTATCCTTTTGGGGCTGAGGGAGGGTAATGCTAAGCAATTCTAGAAGTATAGAGTTGCTAATCTTGGCTCTGAAGCACTCACCTAATGAAGGTAGTAGTTTGCCCTGTCCTGTGTATTTAAAGAAATTTAATTCCTTAAAGATATCTTGCTTTGTGTAACTTCACAGCAGCTGTTGTTGTTGATTTCTTGGAGAATATTAAGGGAAATGAAGTTCCAAAAAAGGCAAAATTATACAAAATGCTAAACCAAAAAATAGGACTCTGTAAACTCAGAATTCTAAGAATTGCATGAGCTAAATAATCTTTAAAAAAATTAATTTGGTGATCTAATCTGAATTGGTAGTGATATTCCTTTTAGAAGAAAGGCAACAGCAGTCTAGGAGGAACACTCTTACCAGCATCAACAGATTGGCCTGCATGACTGCTGGCTGTGGCTCGAGGGGCTTTTATGGGATAGGCTTGGGGCTGAGCCCTACCTAGATGGGCAATATCTGAAACTCATTACTGTAATTTCTAGTAGTAGAAATGAGTCTGTGGTCTGTTCGGGCTGGGGGAAAAACCCATTAAAATTGACACTAATTTGGACCCTTTGGCAGTTTTAACAGAGAGTGTGAGGCCTGAATGGATATGAAGAAGGAACATCCCTAGATGTGTTCCTTCCAGAACAGAGTTGAGACACGTTGTCAGAGCAGTGTAGGTAAACTTGTACTGCCACTGTCTGTGCTGTATCTGTTCTGTGGATAAATGGAGGACTTCTGAATCGACAGCCCTGGAGTCTGGACTTCTAACAAGTACCCAAATTGCTTAACTTCCTCTAGGGAACTAAAAAGGCCAGCTGGGCGGTGGGAAGGGTCAGAGGGGAGTTTGCCATTAAAAGTACACACCTATGTTATATCTACTATATATTGTAAAAGATGATGCTAGTGTATTTATAGGATATTCATGCTGATTGCCTCTTTCTATGTAAAATGTGGTAATATCTTCAAAAATTTCTACTAGATTACGAAGCTAATGCTGAATTTCGTTTCGCTGCAGTTCGCAAATGCTTTTTTATATCTGCAAGAAACTAACTAGTCATCAGATGCTCAGCAGTACAGAAATCCTCAAGTGGCTGCGAGAGATTCTCATCTGTAGGAATAAATTTCTTCTAAAAAACAAAGTAAGTAAATGTTAACAACTATCTGTTGGGATCATTAAAGTGAATTGCTCTCTTTTGTCACTCCCTTTATTTACCGGGTTATTTTTATGATTGGAAGGGATTTAATAGCTGGATCTATACTTTGTCTTCTTATTTCCTCTCTGCTGAGAGATGGTGCTTTGTGAGCCACCCTTGATTAGAATTGCTAACCAAAGATAGGTTTGGAATTTTTTCCTTACTTTAGCTACACAGGTTGTTTTACTTGCCTGGGAAATGTATGTTTTGCAGAAACCTAGTGCCTGATACCTATTTGCCTAATAGAAATAGTCCACAAAGTGAGAAAAAGGCAAAGTTAGTTATGATATAATATACTTGTTCATGGGTGAAATAAAAATTTCTTTTTGGATCTCTCACGCTCATGTGAGTCCTAGAATTTTGACTTGCTTATTTACAGTAATCTCACGAGACTTTTTCCGAGCCAAACACACATTGTAATGCTATACTTGCTAGAATTAAAACCAGACTTGCCATATTATTTTTGAATTAAAGATTGACTGGAAAAAATAAAGGGTTTCTGTTTTTTCTGTATGACCAGAAATCAGCTGTGCAAACATGGGAAGGATACTGTCTTAGGTGTAGTATACAGCATGCCTAAAAATTTCTCTTTCAGCAAGAGGATTTTTACCTTTAAATGGCTTTTTTCTTCTCTTTTCAACTTTGGTGGCTCTTACTGATGAACGCTACTTTTTGTCTGTGTTGGTGCTGAGTAGTAGGCTTTTTCATTTGGCATCTCCAGTTTAATATGTATCTGTAAAATATAATCTCATGTATTGCAGCTGAAGACCTTAGCCATTCTGGCTTTCTGTGAATGCAAAAAGATGTTTACATTTGACCTCTAAGTGGAAATCAATTGTCCTTCAAATGGAGAATATGCTTAATACTATCATTCTCCTCCCAGTTAAAAGGCAATTAGTTGTTTTTAAAAATCTATTTCCTGTTAGTGCTTACAGGATGTTCCTTAATATCAGGATCAGAAAAAGGTAATAATTGTTACTAGAGCTCTGCTTCACAATCTCAGTTCCTACTTTTCTGATCAAATATAAAATGTAAAGAATAAAATGTATAGTACTCCCGTGCTTGGCTTCCTTAGACTTAATTACATCTAAATTATAATTATGTTAGTACGTATTCTCTTGATTAAAACCAAGAAGCCTATTGGGCTTTCAGGAGACTCCAAGGAATGGAGGAAGAGGCATCCTTTTGTGCTTACCTCAAGGTGATGTTTTTTGAAGGTGACTCTCCAGATAATTTCTTAAGGGGAAATATCATTCTAAGAAAGCATTAATATGGATAACTTTATAGAGCCCTGAGAGCACCAGTGTGAAAAGTACTGGGTAAATGCTTAAGAGCTTTTTACCTTCTTGAAATGTATCCTTTTCTACCCTTTTTAAAAAATAAGTTGATTTATTATTATTCTTCCCTCTCTTTATAGCAATCAGATAGGAGTTCCTGCCACTTTCTCTTCCTTTACGATGTCTCTGGAGGTGGAACTAGTCAAATGTCTCTTGACCATGAAGAGATGATACGCTGTGCTCCAGGAGCTACCCTCAGGAAAGGGAAAGGAAATTCTTCCATGGTAAGTAATATATGATAATAATTCTTTTTAAGAATAATTCTGGAGAGGAGAACCTGTGTGCAAGTAGAAATTGAATTACTTTGACAATAATTTAAAAAAAATAATTACTTCTGAGGAGGAAAATACATCTGTATCCTACGTAATGTATGTATCTAATATGCAGGTTAATAATGATGTTTCAGATTTTAAAAGGTCCCATCCTTTTCAAGGTAAAATGTTGGTGAATATTTTTTTTCTTAGGGTTGCACATAGCATCCCTACACATTAGTGTATTAATAAATCTGAAATCTCATTTTTTTTATAGTATTGCGTTCAGTTTGAATGTACCATGAAGGATCATAAAATCAGGCATGTTAGTAAGGTATATCCTTTGACAGACAAGTTTCTCAAGCCTAGTTTTACTACTAGTTCTACTGCAGGAAAAAAATGAAGAGGATATTTAGAACATCTTTTATGAACCAAAACTTTTGGTGGTTTATTTTTTTGTTTTGGTTTGGTTTTTTTTTTTTTTTTTTAATGTACACTTTTTCCACTATCAGTAAGATTTTCCTAAGTACATGGTTATCCTTATGAAAGGAGCAGAATTTTAGCCTCTGTGTTCATGCAGCAGCATGTAGAGCTCTGAACTTGCTTAGGATTGTTTATTCCTACGGGAATAAAAGCAGTTTTAAAGAACAACTAGGATAAGGCTGAATTTTATTAGATTTTCCATATTCGTAAGCAATATTACCAAATTCTGAATTCTGTTTCCCAAGGAAAGTACAGCAGGATGCAGTGGAACACCGATTTGTCGCCAAGCCCAAACAAAACTGGAAGTGGCCTTATACATGTTTTTGTGGAGCCCGGATATCGAGGCGGTCCTTGTTGCAATGTCCTGTTTCCGTCACCTCTGTGAGGAAGCAGATATCAGATGTGGAGTAGATGAAGTCTCAGTGCATAATTTTTTGCCAAACTACAACACGTTCATGGAGTTTGCATCTGTTAGCAATATGATGTCAACAGGTAAGAATCATGACTCTGTAAAATACCTTTCTACCTGGATAAGAAGACTATTATTTGTGTTTGACTTCTTTAAACAGATGGAGATTCTTGATTTGAATGCTGCTCCTGCTTTCACTGAAATGTGTCAATCATCGGAATTGCTGGAAAGAGTAGGGAATTTGGGTGACTGAGTTCATGAGGATTTTAAAGTGTAACAAGAATAATGGTTTACTGAACACTTTGAGGGGATATGTTCCTCTGTTAATTTAATAATTACTTTCAAAGATCTCATATTTGATGTAGGTGGGTTTTCAAAAAAACTTGGTTAAATGTTCTGGGCTCCTTTGTAGGAAGAGCAGCTCTTCAGAAAAGAGTGATGGCATTGTTAAGACGCATTGAACATCCAACTGCAGGCAACACAGAGGTAAACTTACTTCTGAATTTATATGCACTGTGCAGGCATATGTTTTTTTTAAAAACAGAAAATACTGTTGCTGCAAGTAGCTTTGAAATGAAATCTTGATGTGTTTTATTTTAGGCCTGGGAAGATACACATGCAAAATGGGAACAAGCTACAAAATTAATCCTTAACTATCCAAAGACCAAAATGGAAGATGGGCAGGTGACTGTGAATTTTTCCATAGGTTCAAACCTTGAAAATGAAAAATAAATATTTAAGCTCATTTATTTTAAGGAACTGAATTTTAAAGTGAGTTTTGTAAGCAGAATTAAGCTCCATGAAAGTGTTCCAGAAAACTACTGGTAACCATTTGTCCGCTGTGCTTACTAAGAGACCAGGAGGTAATTTGACTTAAATTGGTGTAAGGGAGATGGAGGCCCGAGCTTAAAAATTAAAAAGCAATTGGAAAACCAGAACAGTGGAAACTCTGGAATACTACTAGAGAAATTATGAAATACCTTTCACCAGTTCCTAAACAAGCCGCTGGCTATCATGATTGGAATACACTTTATTGTGGTGCAGAGCAGGGACTTGACTAGGCGACCCACTTCAGTCCTTTTTAGCCTTGCTTTTTCAACTTCTCTAAAAAAAGTGTTTCTGTATAGATTTCTGTTCATACTATCACAATAAACTATAAAAGGTGAATCTTAGGAAATCCTTGAGACTGGAACTGTAAATGGCGGGATGTGTTACAGAGTACCTTGAAATTCTGATCTGTCTCCATTGGTTATGTTTACCTGAAGAGATTTCACCCTCATTCTTTCTTTTACAGGTTACTGAAAGTCTTCATAAGACAATTGTTAAGAGGCGAATGTCGCATGTTAGTGGGGGAGGCTCCATAGACCTGTCTGACACAGATTCTCTTCAGGAGTGGATCAACATGACGGGGTTCTTATGTGCCCTGGGAGGAGTGTGCCTACAGCACCGCAGCAATGCAGGACTAGCGACCTACAGCCCACCTATGGGCCCTGTCAACGAGCGTAAGGGCTCCATGATATCCATGGTGTCCACTGAGGGGAACGCAGAGACTCCTGTTAGCAAATTTATTGATCGATTATTGACTCTGATGGTCTGTAACCATGAGAAAGTGGGACTTCAGATACGGACTAATATTAAAGATCTGGTGGGTTTGGAGTTGAGCCCAGCACTTTATCCAATGCTGTTTAACAAATTGAAGAATACCATCAGCAAGTTTTTCGATTCTCAAGGACAGGTAAAGTGTTGGTATATTCCTTCAGATTTGTGTCTTAAAAAAATTGTCAGTCTTCTCTTTCACATAGGTAATTGAAATTGATACCTGTTCATCTTTAGTACAAAAAACCTGCAAGTGTTGTGATTGTGTTTCACAGCATGCATTAATAATTATTGTATTTGTGATTCCAGGCTATATTTAACATCAAGTAATTGAAAACAGTCTTGAATTCGTAGTGGACTCTGAGTACAGAATCTGTGAGAATGTTCTCAGAATCATTATGGCTGGTAGTATTGACATATTTAATCTTGACATATATTGGAATTCTTTTGGCGAGGTGATAACTAGAAAAATGTTTGTCCATTAGGTTTTTGAAATACTGCGGTGTATTTGATAAATACCCTTTTTCTGATTTTGCACATAAAGAATTACAGCCAGCAATTTTCTCCCTGTAGGTTTTGCTAACTGAGACCAACACACAATTTGTAGAGCAAACCATTGCTATAATGAAGAATTTGCTTGACAATCATACAGAAGGGAGCTCAGAACATCTTGGACAAGCTAGTATTGAGACAATGATGCTAAATCTGGTGAGGTAAGAAATCCTGTTGACCTTCCTAGACAAAGTAATATCTTTAAAAAGTGAGGCAGAGTCTTCTAGTTTATATCTTTTCTGCTTGCATCCATGGAGAAGCAGCAGCTGCTTTTCTGATCCTCCTCCTTATGGTTCTGACAACTTCGGCGATCATTTATACTGCAACATAAAGTGTGCTGATGGAAGTAACCATTCCATAGCTTGGTCCTGTTCTTGTAAGCATTCCTGGTTTCTTTTCTATTCACTTTTATTCTAATAGAAAATATCTTTGGCCAGAAGAAAATTGGTACTAGTCTTCAGCTGGTACAAGGGCTGGCTTACTTGGGGAAAAAAAAAAAAAAGTAGCCCAAACACTTGCTAACCCGTTATGCAAGTCTACTGGGTCAGGCAGTGTGTCAGTTCCAGCATGGAGCTGAAAAGATTTGTTAGATGTGTGGGCCTGGTAGTATGAAGTAGTGTGAAGTATTTCTTTAATCTTTTTGCTTCTTTCTTCAGGTATGTGCGTGTGCTTGGAAATTTGGTACATGCAATTCAAATAAAAACTAAGCTCTGTCAGTTAGTAGAAGTAATGATGGAAAGGAGAGATGACCTTTCGTTTTGCCAAGAAATGAAATTTAGGTAAGTATTGCATTATGCAACTTCTAGGATAGTGTAATTTGGACAAGTCTGATTTTGTTTGGTTATATGTTTAAAAAAATAAACCGAAACCCACCCCACACCAGTCTCCCTGGTAAAGAGACAGTACCCCTATCTTTGTCTTCAAAATAATTTAGAGCCTGCTGCTGCATTAACATTTTTTTGATTGTGGGGATAATGGTAAACACATGTAAAAAATTTGTGTGAGGTACAGACTGGGGTATTACTTGGTATAATAAAATTAGTTAATCTTCAGTGTGTGGTGGTTCAAATAGTTCTTACACTGAATTTGTAATTATTAAGAATGATGGCAGCAGTAGTAAGTGTGTTTGAGGGACGGGTTATTTAAACAAACAAACAAACAAAACCCGAAACAAAAAGCCCCCAAAGCTAAAGCAATGTGTCTGTATGTAACAGGAACAAAATGGTGGAATATTTGACAGACTGGGTTATGGGAACATCTAATCAAGCAACAGATGAGGACGTGAAATGCTTGACAAGGTAAGAAAGAATATTCTTAAACTGTTTCTGAAGTTGCTAACTGTTCCAGGTGGCATTTGATATCCACAGATGAGCTGGCTCATGTGGACTTCATTTAGCACTAGTAATTTCAAGGAAAATACAAAAATTTAAACTTGGGTTTTGGTGAACAGCAACAGAATTATATTTAATGCCTAATCTTAACATGGCTCTTAAGGTTTGGTTAGGTTTTTTGGGGGGGGGTTGTCTTTTTAAGCTACTGAGTTTATTTAATTCTTTTTAATACCTTTTCTGATTCAGCATTAGGATTGCATATTTTATTTGTTTGAGCTAGATCTTCATGTGATGCATTCTGAAGAATTAGATCATCAAACATTATAGTGTTGAATTTATACTTAACTGTTGTTTTTAATGACAAATTTGGTTTGCAGTTGTCCTCAGGAGATACATTGCTTGCACCTGTACCACAAAATGTAGTAGCTCTTTTCCTGATGGTCAGAACTTTACTAGAATAACTGTTTTATTTAAAAAAGATTCTTTTTGCCTGCAGATAGCTATATAATGAAAAGGGACATGGTACTGGATGGGAAAATTATCAAGTGGAAGGAGAGACTAATTCTGCTGAACTGATTCACAGCTTCTTAAAATTTTCTTTTTCAGAGATTTGGACCAAGCAAGCATGGAAGCAGTGGTGTCTCTTCTTGCTGGGCTTCCACTACAGCCAGAAGAAGGAGATGGTGTTGAGTTGATGGAAGCGAAATCTCAGTTATTTCTTAAGTAAATAGTGACTTTTAACTATTTTTCTATACAATGACTCTAAGTAGATGCACCATATGACTGCAATGACAAACTATGGTTTTTCTTTTAGCAGAAATAATTTTATTATCTGAACAGGAATTACCTCTTATATATCCCATTTCACAAATCTCTGCCTCCTAGGTTTATGGAAACATTTTTATTTAGAAAATAATTATAAAATTTGGCTTTGTTTCTGCTCAGTGCAGATGTATGCTTAGTTCATGGGAGGGATTAGCTTGCTTTGATATTATATTTTTATCCATGAAACTTAATCTCTTTCAAGGCACCTGTTTGTAAGGCACAGGTGAAACTCACTTCCTTTGTTTTAAAAAAATTTGCATACAAATTTTAGGACAGTGCCTTCTGGTTGTTACAACACATTTGAAAGTTTGGACTGTGCTACAAGAATGATTATTTGGGGCAGTTAGGAGATTTTTTGGGAGGCTTATTGTCTAGTTGCTACTGTATGCAAATCTTTTCAGACGGTTGCCTTTGCAGAATCTCTTTTACTTATCCAAGTCTTTTTCTTTAGGTATTTCACACTGTTTATGAACCTTCTAAATGACTGTAGTGAAGTTGAAGATGAAAGTGCCCAAACAGGTGGCAGGAAACGCGGAATGTCTCGGAGGCTGGCGTCGCTGCGGCACTGCACTGTTCTTGCTATGTCAAATTTACTCAATGCAAATGTGGACAGTGGTCTTATGCACTCAATAGGTAAAGTAGTTTGAGATAACTGTGCATAAATCAATGCATAATGAAGACTTGGTATTTAAATTATTTTTACATCTTCCTTAGTAGTTCTGGGTTTTTTTAATCAGGCTTGGGCTATCATAAAGACCTCCAGACAAGAGCTACGTTTATGGAAGTCCTCACCAAAATTCTGCAGCAGGGAACAGAATTTGATACCTTAGCAGAAACAGTGCTAGCAGATCGCTTTGAGAGACTGGTGGAGTTGGTTACCATGATGGGTGATCAGGGGGAGCTTCCTATTGCTATGGCTTTAGCCAATGTGGTGCCTTGTTCTCAGTGGGTAAGTTGATTCATGCATTTTATTTCCTAAATTTTTGTAAATATTAAGATTTCAAATAAAAATCAGTACAAACGTTAAGAGTGTAACAACAGTCTGATTAGACCTACCATTCATGAGAACTAGCCTTTCCCAGTATATTCTTGAAAAGTGTGCTGAATCTAATGGTCAGATCTTGATTACAAACTGCATTTTTATAGTAAATTTTTAGTGAATGTCTAGGCATAATTTTATATGCGGTTACTGTAATAAATGCATCTGGGCTGGTTATTGATTACAGATTGTATGTGCTGTAATGCAGACAAACAGAACTGTATTTGCTTCTCTAGATTTTAGCAAGATGAACTGGGCTTTGTTATACAGCAGAATAACTGCTTATCTATCCAGACTAACCATTATGAATTTGTATGACTGGATATCATGAGGCAGATTTTTAGACGAGCAATAACACAGGAAAGATTTAAAGAGAGATTGTCTATGCTTAATTTGATGTTTATATGCAAGACTCAATAGCAAATGTAAAGCATTAGTACAAACTCCTTGGTGTGTTTTTCATAATTCTTTTCTTTGTACTTGCCTTGGCTCACTGCTAGTCAGATTAACATTTCATTGCTTCCTTTAAGGATGAGCTAGCTCGTGTCCTGGTCACGCTCTTTGATTCCCGACACTTGCTCTACCAGCTACTCTGGAACATGTTCTCGAAGGAAGTTGAACTAGCAGATTCCATGCAGACACTCTTTCGAGGAAACAGCTTAGCCAGTAAAATAATGACTTTCTGTTTTAAGGTATCTTATCTAATCTTTCTCTCTGCTACATGTGACTTCAATAACAGGGAAAGTTTAGTAATACAAAAATACAAAACTATCAGTCTGTGCTGTTAAGCACTTGAGTAACTGGATTAGGTGAAAATAGTACAGAGTTGCCTCTGGGTCTCGGTTTAAGTTAGTCTCAGCTGTTGCATCTGTTAAGTTTAGGGTGTTTTGCTTTTAATGTTTTAGTGTTTGATGAACTAAATCTTGTAGACCTCTTATGCTTAGGCCCAACTAAAAAGTACAAATTCTCCTGGAACTAACCTTTTGCCAAGACTTTGTGACTCAATCTGTTAGGCTTAAGCTTGCAGCCAGTCCGGTTGAAGGTTTCCAAGGCAATAAATGTTTCATCTTATCTAGTCTGTATATGCTGCCTTGTAAAGAAAACTGGTCACAGTAACAAAAGTGTTTGCAAGATTTGTAGTTTTCAACAAAGATTACTGGTTATTCATAAAACATAACTTACATGATACAAATAGCTAAACATTAGTAAAGTCCCTTCCTAAGTAATTTTCAGACATAGTAGGCATCTTGAAACTTCTGACTAGTTTAGGTTACTTATATGAGTGATTCTGGGGCCAGTGCCAGTTTGAAGACTGTTCCTGACGGTCTTTTTGTAACAGGCAATTTCAAGATGGGAGACAAAGTCTGGGATCTTGTTTATGCTTCCATTTCAGTTTAAAAAGTTGTGTACAAACAGAGATGACATGTTGAGTCAGTGTGCTCTAAGATAAAGAATCCCATCCAGTTATTAAAGTTAAAAAACCTATAGTTTTCTCTAAATTGGAAAGGAATTAAAATGCTTGTAGAAATCGATCACAGTTATGGTTCAGAAGTGAGACTATAATACAGAAACACTAATTTTATAAACCAGATTTTTGTACAAAAACAAATCAAGAGTTTTCAGGCTCTTAATCCTTACAGAATTTTGGAGTGTTCCTTTGAATTGCTGTATTAATCTGGCCACCTATTCTGATTTTCTTTCCACACAGGTATATGGTGCTACATATTTGCAGAAGCTTTTGGAACCTTTGTTAAGGACTGTGATCACGTCCTCTGAATGGCAGCATGTTAGCTTTGAGGTGGATCCAACAAGGTTTGAGATTCCAGAGGGGGAGCAAACGTATTTGTAAACATGAGTCTCAGTCATTGTAAATATAGTAGGATTCCTTTTTCCTTGTTGCAAATATTTTTCTCATGCTTCCATACTTTTCCACTCCTCACTTTACTGGACACGTTAATTGTATCTGCAATCCTTACACCCAGGGAGAATTGCGCAGAGGTGTCCGACACAGCGAGATGAGTTTTGCTGCATGTCCTCTAAGCCCTGGGAGAGTAAGGAAGATAGAGAGCTCTTGCAGGACCTCTTCTACTTGCTACTTCATACTTCTGTGTAGGCCACTAACATGGGGATTTCCAGTAGTACCAGAAAGCATCTGCTTTAGGTCACTGAATTAATTACAGAAGCAGGATGGAATGCGTGCATGTTGTGTGTAACTTCTTTGCTTTAATTTCTCTTATATCACTTGAAGGCTTTGATTTAGTAGCTGTTGCTCTATTGCTCTGAATTACCTCTAACTCTTAGAAAAACTTTAAGTATTCATCTTCTTAATTAGCTTACCAAAAGATAGGCCTTGTTTAACTCTCAAATATATGTGTCTACCTCAAATTCCTTTCAGAGAAACCTTCATCAAACTGATAATGCAATTACCAGTTGGAATTACGTGCGCATGTCTTTGTATGGAGTGGTGTGAGAGAATCCCACTTACAGCTGTCTGTTACTGGGTTTTAAATTACCTTATATTTGTAACTTAGGTGCTTTAAAATATCAATAGAAACTTTTGTGTAAAAGATCGTAAATATTTCTGTAAGATTTCCATTCACCCTGGGAAGTAAGGTTACTGCCAGACATATAAGTATCGCTAGTATCATTTATTTGATTGCTGGTCATACACTTATGGGTCTGTTTCAGGCTGGAGCCTACAGAAAGCCTTGAAGAGAATCAGCGGAGTCTCTTGCAAATGACAGAAAAATTTTTTCATGCAATCATTAATTCTTCTTCGGAGTTCCCACCACAACTTCGCAGTGTGTGCCATTGTTTATACCAGGTATGCCTGCAATGGTTGCCTGCCCCTAAACTTTGGGTCTTGTTTTTATAATTCTAACAGTTTGGAGCTTGATCTGGTGGTGGGTGCATAGTGGGCATTTCTTAAAGAATGTTTTCAGACATTTGTTCAATAACAGGAATCTAAGCGTAGGGACTGAACGGTGTCTTAAGACTTGGGTTAGCAATCAGGAGGTGACTAAACATTATTATTTTTAAGGAGTTGAATCACAGCTAAGAACTCAGTCCTAATAAGGCAGCAATGATCTCTGCTTCAGCATCTCTGTGGGATACTAAAGATTAACTAGGGAGGTAACAGTTACACTTGCTTTTATCAGTTTATCACGTGGACTATCTATAGGGAAGGCAGTAAAAGGGGAAAACAAACAAACAAACAAACAAACACTGCTGGGTGGAGAGAATACAAAACTGTGTTTTGAATATAGAAACAACGTACTTGTTTACTTTTTATACAGGATCAATTAAATCAGAAATAAATTTCATTATCTAAAAGTCTTATGGATCGTGCCTTTGATAAACCTTAACTTGTAAATCAAATAGCTACTTGTGCAGTTACTGACTCTAGAAAGTTCTTCTCTGCATAAAAAGAGAGGCAATTTCTTCAAGAGCATTTATCTCAAGTAAATATTTATGAAAGTTGTCTATGAAATGTACTCTTCAGGACATTGCTCCAGAAATATTGTTTAGTTGTCCATTACAGGTGGGCACGATCTTCTACTTTCTGCTTGTGGCAGCGAAGCATGTTAAAGTGGGTGTATGATGCTTGTAAGAAAAAACCTGTATGGTATTCAGTGGGACCACAGTAGTTACAGTTCCTAAATTTTAGAAACTGGATTGAAGCTAAGTATAATGGAAGGAAATAGATGTATAAAATGCTGTTGACTGTATTTGGTAGAGAATTGTCTGTGGTTATATGCGCTTCCCTAAAGAATATCGCTCATGGGTGAGGTCAGAACACTGCATCATTCAGACTTTATTCTGATCACACTCTGTCCTGTCTCGCAGTCATGTTCTGAAAGCTCAGTCTCTGAGTTGCTGTGGACAACTATAAGGAAAGTCATTAACTTGTACTGGGAATGTGAGGGCCACCGGCACATGGTTGGTAAATAACATTAGCCTTGTTACTGGGGTGCTGCAGATGCTCTGTACTTTTGAGACAGAATGACAACAGGAATACATTTTGGTCTACGAAGTGTAAAATACCTTCCTTCCTTCCGCCGTGGGCAGCACGTTCCGATGAAGGTGCTGTTGCCTCTCGGCGTCCCGGAGCACGTCAGTGTGTGCGAAGGGCTGCTGTACGTTGAGTAAGCGGCTGACCAAACATTGTGCAAGCACGAGAGTATTCAGGAATTCTGCAGGTACATAGGGCGAAGAGAACCTGGAAGAGACATATTTATAGAGTTCTGTTAATGAGGCAAATTACAGAGACTGACTTCTATTTGTGGCTAAAGCTTGAGTGCTGTCACACAAACCTTGGCGAGTTATCAGGCTGGGACCACCCTCTTCTTGCTGGTTTCTGGCTCCATTTGCAAATGGTGCTCAGAGAAGAGGCCTTCCTGAGGGGTGCACCGTCCTCTGTAGCCCAAGTTCTGCTATCACAGCACCCTCCTGGGCACCCCCCGTTCAAGTCCCAGTGCTCCCCAGCCTCCGTCCCCGACTCCTCTGCTCTGTCCCGTTTCCGCCGCTCTCCGTAGAGGCGCAGCAGCAGGGTGCTGAGCCCAGTGTGCTTACAGGTCTCTTGCTCTTTGTGTGTTTCTGATGGATTTAGCTGCTGCTAAAAATTCCAGTGCGGGACATTCCTGCTGACCTCAGGGCTCATAGCAAATACAGATTCTAGGTCTGCTGGAGGACTGTCTCGGAAGAGCTGTGCACGGCAGAATATGTGAGCGGTGGTCTCAGTTAAGTGGTCTGGAAGAGCTACTTCTGGCCCTTCAGAAGTCTGTATCTCAGGTCTCAAGTAAAGCAAGGAAAATAGATTTTCTGCGCTTTGTGCACTGATTACAAGTAATAAAAAATTTACTCGGTGTAGTCTAGTCATATTTTTACAGTGAATGCTGTATTAAGTGCAAGCGCTGCGATTCTCAGAACTTGGAAGTGAGAAAGAGTGAATTGTATGTCGTGACTGTTGTGGTTCTTGGGTTGTTATTGTGAGCTGTTGGGATGAATTAGGCATGCAAATGATGTGCCTTTGTTTCTGCTCTAACAGTTTGTATAAGTGGCTTCCAAAGTCATCAGTTTCTCTTTCCAACAGTGGTTGTGTTCAGGTTGGCGGGGGGTGGGTTTTTTGTTAGTTTTTTTAAATGGGAAAATGATGGGGACATGTTGGTCTCCTTCACATTCCCACGGCCGCAGGCTCGCAGACGTTGACTGGGAGTATATTTGAGTGTTGTTGAAAATGTCCCATGCAGCCTTGATTGTTGCTGCCATTATTTGACTTTACATTGTCCCACATTTTTTCCTAGAATTGCTTTTATATGCTGTTACTAGGATGTATCAGATTCATTTCCATTTCGGTGATACATTACTAGAAATTATTTCTGTGTAAACCATTTTTAATTCCTACATGAAATGGAACTACTAAAATGTACTCACCAGGGGGCATTGGCAGAGATTCTTCTATGAAAGCATATCGAGTTTGTTGGCTTTATTCTTCTCTACTTTTTTTTGGTAACGAAGGTAATTGGTTCCTGAAAGAGATGATTTACTGGCAAATATTTAAGTGGTACTGACTGATACTCAGCTTCAACATTTACTACTTTACCTGTTTCTAGTAACACCTACAAACTATTGTTCTTCACAAATAGTGTAATAATTCTGTACTTTCAAATTCCAGAGAGTTTTGAAGAGTCTGACCTTTATCTGAAAGAAAACACAATTAAAAACTGATTTTTTGGGGGTATTAGTCCATTTTTATCATAAGAACCAAATAGGAGATTTTTATAAGGTAATTTCATTATTTTTATAAGGTGGATGTGTTCCATCCCAAGCAATAGTGTAAGAGTAAATGAGACTGAATGTTGCCGTGTCTTTATGCTTAAAGTAAATGAGTGCAAAAGATACTCATCAGGTGTGTTCTGTAAATGATTTGTGTCTAATTTTAATCAATGTAGCAACATGATGGAAACAGTGTGTTTAGCTGGACGTTGGGGTGTGTGCTGGCTGGCTCCTGGTGCTGGAACCAGAGCCCTGATGAATGTTTTCATCTGGAAACATCACAGAACTAGTTACTGTGACAGATTTGCCCTTGCTCACTTTCAGGTAATGTGTGTTCAGGAGTGTCACCCGGCTACCAACAAGCCTGATCACCCTAACTCCTACAAATAATTTGTGCTGGCTATTTCATAAAAACCACACAAACATATATGATTTTTCGCAATAGAGATGGAAATTACTTGCTTTAAATGCATCAGGCTGATGCACAGAGCATGTATATGACTGCTTCAGAACCTACTGCTGGAGGAATTACACCAAGTCAGAAATTTGGCAGAGGCACCATTGATTAAATATTAATAGGTCCTGCACAAATTTGAAATATATAAATTTAGCTTGCTTAGCAGAATAGCTTTTATTGACTGTTTTGGGGGGGTTGTTTTGTTGGGGTTTTGGTGGTGGTGGTGGGGTTTTTTTGTGGGGATTTTTTAATTTGTTGTTGGTTTGGGGTTTTTTTTGTTTTGTTTTGTGGTGGTTTTTTTTTTTTTGGTTTGTTTTGTTTTGGTTTTTTTTGTTGTTGTTGTTGTTTTTTTTTTTCTTTTTACTCTATCACATTCTTAGGTTATAGAAATTCTCTTCCAGTTCCAGCTTGTGTGATGCTCTGCAGATGATTTGAACTGTTGGTGCAGGCTTGCTCTCAAACTGCTAATTCTTGCTGGCTTTCTACTGCTGCAGCTCCAGGGGTTGCTCGCTGTAGGGCACGGGGGGATGCTCCTTTGCTGCCACAGCTCCTGTGGAGGATGTAGGGCTGAGCTCCGAGGCCGCGGTGCCCCTCTGCACGGGGGAGCAGCGCCCGAGGCTGGAGTGCTGTAGCTCTGCTCAGATCCTGGTGGGAAATAGGAGAGAATGTGATGCTTCTTGGTGGGTCCGTTTGCAGTTAAATGAAATGCAGAAATAAGCACAATCGAGTCAGATATCTGGATTTGGAATTCTATAATAAATTAATGCAGACCCACTGGCTTTTTTCTTCCTTTTTCCACAGAGTGTTTTATGGCAGTGTTTAGCTATCAAAGTAGTAATAATCATGGTGATTCACAGATCTAACTAAATTGAAGGACACACAGAGAAACATTGGGAAGATTTAAAACTCTAAATTTATTTTAAAAGTAATATGTATTTCAAAGGTATAACACTTTACTATTTTTACTATTAAACTTATTTGGGGATGGTGAAATACATTTGAAAGCTGACTATACCATTTAATGCCAAATACTGTGTATTATGAGCACATTCATGTGGTTTGACTTTTCATCTAGCCAGAAATAGTAGAAATGATTGAAACACAACATTTGCTTGTTTTGTATTTAGTGCTTTGTAAATAAGTTGTAATAAAATTGTGGAATAAAAACTCCATCATCAGTCTTTAGTTTATATATTTCATTTTCTGTTGGTTATGTTTGTTACATTTTACTGTGTAATTTATGTACAAGTCAACATTGGTTTTTTGTTGCTGTATGTAGTTGGTGCTGTGACTTGTTTGTGCTCATCTCTGTTCTGTAGGCAACTTGCCACTCTCTACTGAATAAAGCTACCGTAAAAGAAAAAAAGGAAAACAAAAAATCAGTAAGTTTGGAGACCTTTTTATTAGCCATTTCTTTCAAAGCACAACAGAAATCTTTTGCTGTTTGTTCAAAACATCTTCACTTCAGTCTATTTGACCTCACTGTAAAATCATTCTACTAATTCTGGCACAAAATAGCTTTCATTTCGATTAACACTGGAATTATGTTATAATTAAAATATTCTCTGTGTGCCTATTTGAGTAAACAAAAGACATTTTTAACATTACTGCTTAGTATTTAATGCTCTGACTCTTCTACCCTTGCCACCTCCTTCAAATTAAAAAAAAATGCAGAGAAAAATGTTTCCTTTGGTTTTGGGGAAAATCTGATGCTGTTTAGCTGTTTTAACACTCTGGCAGATAACTTGACTTCAGCTTGCATCCTGGGAGAAGAACAATTAATATATAAGGGTTACTGAAAAGAGAGGCATATATTGCTTGTTTCTGACACATCTTCTTTTGTTTGCCTTGTGACTAAGAAATAAAATTTAGCACTTTTATTTGCTGAGAAAAGCAGATTTCCCATTTTAAATAACTTGCTGTATTAAAGAGTTCAGATATGCAGAATGTGATAGAGTGGTGTCATCCTTTTCTTTAACAGTGACATCAAAATATAAATTATTAATAAAACAGAGGTAGAATGGAAATTTAAACTTTAAAATACTTCCATATTTTTTGCTGTAACTGAGCAGAATAGTAATCATGTTGAAATGCAAAATGTGTGCAAACTAGTATGTTACAAGAAAATGCCAGTAATTGCATCACAAGGTAACTGAATGATGTTGCTCCTGAACCAAAGTGATTCTTGCTATATTATGTGTTTACTAATGGCTTTATCTGTTTTAAGAAGCATGATTTGAGATTGCACTAGTTATGTTTTTAAAGTATTTTAGTAAAATGAGGTTTGTTTGTTTTTTATTTTAAACAGTACAACTTAAAATATGAAGCTTGCTAATTCTGTGAAAAGGTAGAATCTGGCTTATTTTAACTGTTGTTACTCATAAGAAAAATATACATATAGACATTGTATCTTTGTAGAACAACATGTAGTGTATTTAAGAACATTATTTTTGTCAGGGAGCTTTAACTTTTTAAAGTCAAATGAAAGATATCTAGAAAACAGACTATCCTTTTAGTAATACTTAGTTGAATTCCTAAAACGAAAGGATGTTATACTCCCCCCCCACCCACCCCCACCCCGATAGCAAAAAACCAATATTTTAAATCTGTAATTCTTCTAGAACTCCTGTTAAGTTATTTTGGACAGTGTGTGTACAGGCAGAGAAGTACACGGGCCACTCAGCTCTGGCTCATCCTTTGGCAACTGTTGAGATGCGATGGTTCTGAAGAGTATTTCTACAAATATCCCCTTCCCACAAATTTAAAATCGTTCCTGAAACTTTACAGCATAAATCTTATTGCTGGAGAGGCTCTTGTACTCAATAGTGACAATATAAATACACAAATAGAAGACCCACTAATTTAAAAAGAATTATCTGTATTTGATGGGAAGACTGTGCACACCTGAGTACAAACACACGGCATTTGTCTGCTTTACTGTCGGGGGCAGGGTCCTGGAATTCAGTGGTCAGTAACTCAGAAATAGCTCATCTTGGTCTAATGGCTATTGCAGCAGTTTCACCTTAGCAAGAAAGTTTGTACAAAAGCTGAAGTAAAGCTTCAGTGCTAGTGCCTGACAGCCCCCTCCCCCCGTACTCCTTTCCCTCTCGTTCCTGGTTGTCCTGTCAAGGCAAGAGAGTCCTACTCAAACGTATTGAGCTTGACTGGGATGGAAGGAATGCTTAAAGCCATGCAAGGCTTTTCTCAGCTTGCTTTCCCTTTTCTTTAATGCAAAAATATTCTTTATAATTCTCAACTTCATAGGTGGTTAGTCAGCGATTTCCTCAGAACAGCATTGGCGCAGTTGGAAGTGCGATGTTCCTTCGGTTCATCAATCCTGCGATCGTCTCCCCTTACGAGGCAGGGATTTTAGATAAAAAGCCTCCACCAAGGATTGAAAGGGGATTGAAGCTGATGTCAAAGGTGAATCAGTCAATATTTTCATTTGGCCGTGTTGTATGTTCTACCCAATTTAGTTCTGTTCTTTGACTGGTAAGAGAAAATTTAGGTAAACTTGTAGGCTTTTCTGCAGCAACCATCAGTTTATTTCAAGTGCAGTTTCCGCGCTGTGTTTGTACATGCTGACGTTAATGCTGTAGCTCACAGCACTGTAAGTACAGGGAGCAGTCTGTAGGGAAAAAACATTTTGCCAGTGATGTATAGAAGAATGCCTTCTGGCTCTTCACTTGAAAGTCTAACCTTATTTCAAAACAAAGAAAGAAACCAATGTTACTTTGAGCACAGTGAGAATCATGGCAGCCAGATATTGATTCGGTTCATACTAGCACTAAAGAAGTGATTTTTTTTTTTTTTTTTTTTTTTCTATCTTTAGTCTCATTCGGTAGTATTTCCTGTAAAAATGAAAAAAAAAAAATTTCAATGATGGCACACAAATTCTGTGCCTTGTGTATATTATCCCTTTTAAATGTTGTGAAATTATATTTTTTTTTAAATAGGCATATCCTATTGCTTTTTCATGCCTGTATAATTTCCAGGAGAAATAATTAACATTTAATAAATGGTGGCTTTGAAAGATGATTTATTTTCCTTGTCTAAACCTGTATAAAGTTCATAAATAAGGGAAATAATTTTGTAGTAATCAAAGGTATATGAAAGAAAATAGTTTGAAAGTAAACATATTTTGAATTAATTGGCTTATTGACCTCTTTTTGTCTTGAGGTTTCACGACAATTTAAAGTTAATTTAGTCAGTGAAGTTACCCTGACTACCATAATCGTTAAGACATTAAACCTTTATGTGTCTTTACCATCTTTTTATTATTTAGATACTTCAGAGTATTGCCAACCATGTCCTGTTTACAAAAGAAGAACATATGAGGCCTTTTAATGATTTTGTAAAAAGCAATTTTGATGCAGCACGAAGGTAGGCCCTTTGGAAACTTGCACAAAAAGTCTGTCTCATGTGTAAAGAGCGAGCAGAGAATGTTCTCACAGCCTGTTAGTTTACACGGAGTCCACTTGGCAGATTTCCCTTACACACTTGTGGTTATTACTGGTTTTGACCTCCAGGTTTTTCCTTGATATTGCATCTGATTGCCCAGCTAGCGACACTGTCAATCACAGCCTGTCCTTCATCAGCGATGGCAACGTCCTTGCTTTGCACCGGTTGCTGTGGAACAATCAGGAGAAAATTGGCCAGTACCTTTCCAGCAACAGGTAAGACTTCAGAAATGTTATGAAGAAGGGAAGTTGCTGATGGGAAATTAATATTTGGAAATATTTTCGGATGCTTGTCTTATTATTACTGAGAAGAATATCAGGACTGAAAGATCTTACGTTTGGAAACCGACGTCTTATTGACAAGCCATTGGTGGGAGCATGCCTAGCATCTTTCCTGCCAAGCTTTTGTGCAAGTGTCTAGTTATTTTCTCTTTTGTAAGAATTGTTCTAGGTATAACAAACACTTTTTTTTATTTCTTCCTTGAACACTTTTTTAATTTTAAAAAAGAAAATCCATCTTGTTCAAGGTAAGAAAGGCAAAAAAAATAGGAGTTGCTGAGTAAAGAAGGACTCTGAAGTAATGCGCTGTTTCTAGGGACCACAAGGCTGTTGGAAGACGACCTTTTGACAAGATGGCTACTCTTCTTGCCTATCTGGGTCCCCCTGAGCACAAACCCGTGGCAGATACCCATTGGTCCAGCCTAAATCTCACTAGTTCCAAATTTGAAGAATTTATGACAAGGTAACGAGACTATCACGGAGGGGACGCACGTGGTGGGTTTCTAGGCTTTAGGGTGTAAGGCAATAGAAGTTGTTATTAAGACTCCAGCTTTCATTTTGAAGGGGAGTTTAAAAAGCTGAGTCTACGTGTACCTTTTAGGTTTCTGAGGAAATTCTAATTTCAAAACTGAAATTGAGAACCAGAGACAGCAGTAACCTTTGTGGTTTAACAGGGCTTCAGGATTGTGTGAATGCAATACTTCTGTTTAAAGATACAAATAAAGAGGGCTTGGGATTTTTTTTTTTTTTTTTTGAAAGGCAGTTGTGAAAAGTTGATGACAATGTACTGCTTTTTAGGCATCAGGTACATGAAAAAGAGGAGTTCAAAGCACTGAAAACATTAAATATTTTCTACCAAGCTGGGACATCAAAAGCTGGCAATCCTGTTTTCTACTATATTGCTCGGCGGTAAGGAATTTTTCAGCTTCCCTGTCTGAAATACACTTGATACTTTAGTTTTAACTGTTTATGTAAGAAAGGGACACCAACTTTTTAACAAACAAGAATCTGAAAATAGCTTATTTTTCAAATTTTGGTAACAGTATTTTTTAATTGAGTTGTTTCCTAAATCAGAACTGTCATAGTTTTTCCACCCAGGAGTATGTGAGTATCTGTGGAAAAATACTGAAAATTTTAAATACGTGTTACTAATTTTTTCACTGTCTCAAGTAAACTACTTCTCTACCACATTACTGTTAACCTGTTATCAGCGATTTTAGCATCTTCATTTTCTGAAGTATAAAATGAGTAACAAGCTAAAACATGGGATAACATTTCTCAAAATGGTCCCTGAATCCCATTTTAAAAAGTGATACAAGTATTTTGAAGTTTCACACATAGTCAAGACCACGATGTTGCTTCAGTTTCACCAGTGTGTTCTAACTGACAATAATACCATGTTTTTGGAAGTGATTGAGATCTGTGGAAATATCACTAAAGTAATAAGAAAAGCAGATGTTGATGTGTGAACTTTGCAAAAGACTGTGTTTTTCCAATAAGGCAAAATTTTAAGTCTTCCCTACTCTGGAAGAAAGTGATTCATAATAATGAGTAACATGTGCTGCAGTTTTAAAGAACTTGGGAATAATGTCCTGAGATCAGTATTAGTCAGTTTATGGTCAAATAAGTCACAGTTCTCTCTCTTAAAAAAAAAAGAAAAAAAAAAAACACACACAAAAAAACCCCAAAACAATAAAAAACCTCAACTAGTTTTATTTAAATTAATGTTTATAGTTGTAAAGCTGCAACTAGAGTAGGAATATAACTGAAATTTGATATCTCAGTCTTGTTAAGTCACTGCACTATAAAACCCATGGAGGACAGCATGTTCCAAACAATTTCCATAGTAGTTACACTGGTTGCTAAAAGTCAGTCTCCTCAAAAAAAGGAAAGTCGTTGTGCTTACGACCAAATGCAATCACAGACAGAACCGTGAAGATAAGATCAGAGCTCTTGTACCTTTTCTGCGTGCTGCGTTGTTGGTGCCTTTGCTTTTGGGAGTGGTGCTGCTGGTGGGGGCTGGCGGCAGCGGTGGGACCGCGGGGCTCGGCGCTGCCGGGTGCGTGGTGGTGGTGCTGCCGAGGCCTCTCAAGTTCTCCCCAGCACCGACCGTGGGAGCGGGAGTCCTGGCGTCGGCGTGGCACCTATGGGTGCTGGCAGATCCTGTAGAGGTGTTCACGGTCGGATTGTTGCCAATGCATTTTGTGCCGGCGGGGCTCTGGATTTTGCTTCTGCTGCTGTTGCCAACGTGGTTTTTGCTGGCGGTAGCCAAGTTCCCGCTGGTGGAGCCGCTTGTGGTGCCGGTGCTGGCAGAGTCCCTGTGGCGGCTTCGGCTCCTCCTGGTGCTTCTCTTGCTGGTGGGTGCTTGTCTGTGATGCCAGTGGGGTGCTTGCTCGTGGTATCCTTGCTGCTGGTGTGCTTATCCATGGCATGGGGCGGAGTGGTGGTGGTCCTGGGGAGCACTTGAGCTGTTTGGCGGGGTGAGCAGCTTCTGGTGGCGGGGCCGGGGCCGCTGCCCAGGGCGTGCTCCTTGCTGGCGGCGGCACCGCTGCTGGTGGTGCCGGCGGTGGCCGTGTCGGGGATGGTGCCACCTCGGCACAAAGCAGTGTCGTGATCTGAGGAGGTGCCGTCAGCGGGGTGACCCCTCTGCAGAAACCTTGAGTTTGGGTAAGGACACGAAAACAAGCAGAAGAAACGATGTCTCCAGCAGTATCTTCTGTTTGTATTCAGCAGTTTAAGCAAATAGTTAATACAAGTTTGCAAACAAGGCATTCTTCAAATTTCCGTATTTCTAATGAAAATCATACCAAACAGCCACGTGAGATTTTTTTCAATTAAAATGTTAGATCCTTCATTTTGTTAATTTTCGTAATTTTCCATTGTTTTCAGTAGTGCTTTCTACTCTGTAGATTGAGTTACAAATTTACTTTCCTAGAAAAACTGTGCTCTGTTATACCATCTGACTTGTCATTTCTCCTCAGAAAATTTCGAAATTTTCAAATAAAGAACAATTTTAATGATTGGAAGATTTTATTATTTTACCACTGGGTAATAAACATACCTTATTCCAAATTCAGGATGGAGGCTAAAATAATGAGCAAGCTTTGAAGAACCTGTCCAAATATAACCTCTAACTTGGTAGTTGAATTCTGATACTTAAATATGGTTTCCTAGCCAGGATGCAATTAGAGATCCAACAAATGAATATATCTGTTCACATTTCTTTTGTTATGTTTTTGATTTTCAGAGCAACAAACAAACAAAACTTCTGTTCAGTATCAATGTGGAAGGTAAAATAAATTTCAAAACTGTTTCCTTCTTCTGGAATTTTGTGCAGGCATGCCAGAGGGTTTTTTCATGCTTTAAAAAAACAACACAAAATACTTGCTTTCAAGCTGATAATGTAGGGAGGAAATGCTTATGTTCTCTTAAATTTGTTGCTGTGAAAGTTCTCAAACGCTTGCTTTGCTTCTAGCTCTGAGGAAGACTTTATGTGTAAGGCAGTACAAAGGTGAGAGAAAAAAGGAAGTGTAATATGGCTGATTTGGAGATAACATTTGTGTGAAAGAGTAAAGTGCCCATGCTTTTTGTCAGTTCTACACTTAATGAATCTGTAAGCTCATGCTAATTAAAGGAATACTAAATAACACAAAGTCTTATTACATAGAAGTAGGTAAGCACACAAAATTTATCTGAACTTTTTTTCCAGTGATTTATAGCTCTGAAATAGAATCTGTATGAGAGAACATAGTTGTCTAAGCCTTTTTCTTTCCCTTTTGCTTGGGAAATTGCCTTCCTTTAACTTGACTGCTTCTCTGCACTTCTAACACCCTTGATTCTTTGGGTGGAGTGGAGGAAAACAAGATGAGTAGTACCACTTACCTTCTGTCCTAATTTTCTGTCCTCAAAAGCCACACCATACTCCTCTGCCCTCTTTAAGGTCTTTGAGTCACTTTTGAGCCCATTGTGTAGGCTGAGGTAGGCCTTTATAAAATCTTTCATGACACTTCAGTTTGCAGTGTAAATGGCCATGTAAGTAATTAGCCAGTACTGAATTAAGTTATTGTGGGTATCTGTCACATTTTACAACAAAATGGTTGAGAAGAGGGATAGCTTCTGGAAATTTTCCTTTTGTAATGTTAGTGGTCGTGGCTGAAGCAAAACGAAAATAATTTTGTTTTCAGTGAAACATGCATCTGTCTATCTAGTATCTAATGCTGTTTTCTGCTTTTCAGAAAACACTGAACAGTATGTGACTTGTAGAGTGACTTTGCTGGGATATCTCAGAGCTCCATGTAATTCTGTACTAGGAACAGATTTACTGAAGCGATGCTAGGCAGTGGAAACATCAGTGATGCCCTAAAGATCCAAAGGGGATACAGAGTTGACAGTGAAGTGAGTGTGTGCAGTGCCGAAACTGAAATTAGTTTGCCGGTCTTCCATTTGTTTATAAGTTTGTTTTTTCCTAGAGATTCCTGACACTACATCTGCACACAGAATTTTGAAAGTTTAACTAAGGACACATTTTTAAATGCTGCATTTTGTAGGGAACTAACTCATTGTGAACACTTAAAATTACATATCCTTGGATTACGATTTTTGCTAAAATTGATTTCTGCATAGGCTTAAAAAAGGATATGTACTCATGGACAGCATGTATCAGGTTAAATAAATGTTCTTGAAAAAGCACGCTGATTGTTTTAGACAACATAACTTTATGCAGCTGAACATCGGTAGATTTTTTGAAGAGTATGATGTTCAGACCCCTTCTAAGCTAGTTGTACTGCTGTCACGAGAAGACTGATCATCAAAACTCAGGAATAAAAATAGATGTTTGGAAACTCAATTTTTCTCCCAGCTGTTGTGTTTATTCACTGTTATCATGGAGTAAACTTGAAAAGTTGTCGGACTATTGCAAATTAGAAGGATCAGCTGGAGTCATTTTATCTGCCCACTCCCTCCAGCTTTTCCCTTCTTCCCTTCAATTCCATTAAAGTAATTTCAGAAACTTTTTCTGAGACATGCAAGTATATATCACAAGACAAAATATACTCCTTTAGGATAAAGAAAAAAAAAAGGTAGAATATATACTTTCAGGAATACTTCAACTTTGTAAGATGCCTTGTCCTTTTTGAAGGCAAACATGGGGGTGGTGGTGTTCCCCACATATCTTTTATCAGTTCTGTTGAATATGCAACAACGGAAGTATTAATATTAAAGTGCTATTGTATCCTTGCATGGTTAATTTTAGTATGAGTGAGCCTGTTTAAATGAGATGTCTTCTTCAGGTGAGATGCGTGGTGGCCACGAGTAGATATTTGAAGGGAACTGGGGATGCTTGGTGGCTTGGTTTGGGGTAGGAGGATGGTATTTCAGTGTCTGCTTCAGTACGTGTGTGGTGTCTTTTGCCTGTTCAACAGGACTTAATTGCAGTTGAAGGAGAAAAGGGTGTTGATGAGTTCTCTTCAGAAGTAAACTGGTGGGGTTTTTTCACTCTGATCTGGATTGTTTTCCTTTGTAAGCCATTTAGACAACAGCATTGGGAAGCCTTGGCGGAAGGGGTTACTTGAAGCTTCTGTGCTTAAGTGAACTCTGGGCAAAAGGCATTCGATGTGGAAGGTGCCGCTGCTCCTGTAAGGAGGATTTTGCAATGGTTAGACTGGGGGGACTGTTGTGGTCATAGGGGCACACACGTGTGCTCCTGCTTGTATGGAGCTAAGGGTTCATGGGCCTGCAGGACGAACTCCCAGAAAGGGGTATCCCTGGGGGAAGCCTGTGTGCTTTTTTACTTTTCAGCAAGATCCCAGATGCTTGAGCCTCTTCCATACCCAAAGTTAGAACAGAAGGTAGTCTTTTGAATTATCTTTAAAAAATTCCTTGTGTTTGCTTGCTAGTATATTCCATTGGAC